ACCGCGAGGTCGCTGTCTACTCTCCGATAAATTATTCACCCTGCTGGCCGAGAGCTTTCCCTGCGATGGAGGTAAGAGTAGCACTTAAATAAATTTCTAAAAATATTTTTGTTTATTTTTAGGTATAGAAAGAAACTTGTATAATCTGCATTAAATTATAGACAAATAACAAGTCACTTTTGAAACGAAATACTATTATCTGCCAACAAAACATTATTCGCCCGAGAGTGTACTCATTTTTCTTGGCATTATTAAAGCGCCCTAAAAATAGCTGATACCTACACCTACGCCATGCTGAAATGTATATCCTGCTATTGGCAACATCCTGAGCCAAGACGTCATTTACTTTGGCCAAAAAGTTTCCAGCTACAGCGGCAAGTGTCAATGTTTCACTTAAATCTCAGCCGAAAGGCGGCGCAAATGAAAGAAAAATGCGTCAAGACGCGGAAAAGGAAAACGAAGCCGGGTCAAGAGTGCTTGAAATTGAGCGCAATGGCTCATCTTCTCTTGTTGTTCTTTTTATGGCATAATTATGTAACATAAATTGCTAAAGTTTTTCGCGCTCTATGCCGTTGCTGTTGCCATCTTGCTGGCATTGCGTTACATATTGTGTTGTAGATGCCGCTGTTGCTGTATCCTTTGTAGTTGGTGTTGGTGTTGCTGTTCTTAGCTGCTTTCGTTTAAAGTTTAGCCGACCTTGTTGCCATTTTCAATCTGTGTCCGCCAACTTAACTTCGAGTGAAGTTTACAGCGTAGGTAACAAGCAGCAACAGAATGTTCTGCCGTTGTCTGCATTTGCTTTTACTTGGTCTTGTTTTTCTTTTTTTTTTTATATATATTTTTTTTTTTTTACTTTTTTTTTGAGATTTTTCTTGGCCACGTTTGCTTTTGTTTTTCTTAGCTTATTCTGTGCTTAGTACATTTTTATTGCTTCTACATTAAGTGTGCATTCTTTATGTTTCGCCAAGATTTTTCTAGCTGGCTCTCATATTTATACATATAGAGTATATGTATCTGGAAGCTACGGGGAAATTTATTTACTTTTTTCTATTTTCATTTGCTACTTAAACTTCTTGGTAGTTTCTTTTCAAGAGGTTAGTGGGGGGTCTTTGAGGAAACCCTAACGAGCACAAATGGACAATTCTAACTAGAGGAAAACTTGTGAGATTCTAGCCATCAACAGTTGTGCGTAACAATAAATAGTGACGGGATGTAGCCGGTACTATTAAGGCCTTAAATAATCAAACCAGTGATTAAATTTAAATTAAATTAGTAACATAATGATATTAAAAATTTATACACGTTTAAATTTTCAGCTTTATATTTTTCTCCATTTAGAAAGCTTTCAGGACTTAAGATATCTTCATAGAATTGTATCCTTTTATATTTTATAGCTTATCCAGTGCCTTGGGATTGTCATCATTGCTGATGTTTTTCTTGGCTCTTTGCAGGGAAAACCAACAAGGTGACCACAGCCCAGGGCCATGCCAAACTGAGCAGCGTCAACAAGTGCACAAATGAATATCATAATCAACCAAAAATGGCGCTGGCCAAGTCAAATTCTGGCCAAAAGAAATGCGGCAAGCAAATCTCCAGGCAGCTGCAATTGCAGTTGCAGGGAAATGGCCAAACCGCTCGACTTCCAGGTGCTGTCACCGAAAATAGCAACAACCACAGTGAAACCCCCGTGGGGAGAAAAGGTCAGGAGGCGGCACTGTTGATAAAAGTGCAGCACCAGTACCAGGAGAACTCACGGGAGGAGCTAGAAGCGGAGGAAGAGGAGACGCTGGAGGAGAGCAACAATATGCTCGTTAAACCAAAGTTAAAGTTGAGCAAGAAAAGTTGGCGGATTACAGGGCAAGATCAAGACGGATTGCGCTGCAATGAAGTTGCCACCATAAATAATGGACACCAGACGACGACAACGACGACGGCGTTGTCTGTGGGTGAGCAGGTGAACCAAAACCAGTACCAGGAGCAGCGAGACTTCGGGTCTCAAAATTATCATTGCCCTACTGGGAAATCATGCAGCTACCAGCAGAAACTGGCCAACAAATTGTCAACAGTCGGGCAGAAGGCCACCACCGCAGAAGCAGCAGCAGCTCGGGGTGCCAAAAGTGCAGATGGCGCCTTATCAACAGGGAGCCATAAACAGGCGCCAGCATCCGGCGTAAATCAGGATGCCGCGGATGCTGCAGATGGTGTGGATGCTGCGGATGCCGCGGGGTCGGGCGTGTCATCAATAAACTGGCAGCACCGGGAGTGGCAGCTACTGAGCCACCTCAGTGCCGAGCACCGCCTGGCCGTGGTCCACTTCTATGGCACGTTCGGTCAGCGGCTGAACGTGCAACCTCAACAAATGAGTGTAGCCTGCCTCCGGCTGAGCGAGCAGCCACTTTCCAAAGACCTCGTGGAAGTGCACACATTTTTCTTGGCTGTCATAGAGATCGGCGGTGATGAGGCGGCGCTCTTCCTGTGGCAGCTGGACAGGCCAGGTCAGAACCAGAAGCCACTTTACGAGACTGTCATCGAAACAGAATGCGGAGGCGTCAAGTGGTTCGGACCTGTACAGTCGCTCCGGCGCAGTTGGCCGGAAATAAGGGAATCCGGCGAGTTCCTTCGGTGGCGAAATTCGGGACTATGCCCAAGCACTGCGTTTAATGTGACAGTAAAAAGTAGATCGCTACTTTCCTAATTGTTTTATATATAAAATATTGTGAATAATATCAAATCCCTTAGAAAAATTTGCAAGAAAATTATCGTAATCAATTGGAACTGATTTTGTTAAATGTTGCTTTTGTCACCCTCGCCTTAAGACTGGCTCCAAAGTATTGTATTGAATAATTTGTAGCTCCTAGATAGCCTTAAAGATTTATGTTTATTTTAATTTTAAGTGATTGCCTGGCTCCTGTGCACGTTGAACACCTGCTAATCGGAGCAAACCAAAAGTTTGCAAAAAACCAGATCAATAAAAAGTGAAATCGGAATCAACTCATGGTAGCTGTATGCTTTGTAAATTGTATTTGTACTTTTTTATGGCTGGTCAGTGTTTCAGCGGGTGTTTGATCGAAAAATGCAAAACACAGTTTGGAAATGTGTTTAATATGCAATATTTTTAATTAATAAAAACATTTAGAAAAGTGCTGTTCTGGCAGTTTGAAAGTCGCGCCTTCCAAACACCAACAGTTTTAATATGCGGGTATGATGCAGCCGTAATACCCTAGGATTGAAATAACCAGACTGTTGTGACACTTTCCATTGTTTTCGGGGCATGCTTTCTGTTGCAGGAGTATTAAAAAGTTTCAATGATCAAACGGTGATATGTTGTGGAGTTGAAAAATAATTTTGTTATTGGTGCGGCGCGGCCCACGCATCAGCATGACCCTGCATCGCGGGTAACTAGCGGTTGTCTGTTTGCTGCCTCCTGATAATTGACTTGCATGCAAATTAATGTTTTTTACCTCTCGGCCTGCGTGGGGGCGTAAATTGGTGGCCTGTCGGACAAACTGCAAACACGGCCATTGCTGGAGTCCGTCATTTTCATCAACGCCCCGCCATGAATAAATCTCGCCGCCATCGATGTTTACTATATTTAAGGAAAAAATTCCAATTTGATACAACAAAAATCACTGCACTGAAATGAATGCACGACTGTGTGTCTGTATCAAATAAATAAAGCAACATTTATGTCACCTTTTTATAATACTTTTTTCTCAACTATTTTTTGGTTTTGCGCCATTTTGCAATTGTAGCCTTTCCACACTATCGCCTGTTTGTTTTTGATGAGCCATCACCATTGCCATCATCCTTGGTCGTCTTATGTACTGGGTACAATAGAAAAAGTTTTCATAAAATAAATTAAACATTTTCAACGCCAGTTTTTTTTGGTCAATGTCCGCTGGTGACGATGTTGATAATGGGGCGGGGTGATGATCTGGCTGCGACTGCAATATTATTATTAAAGGGGGCTGAAAGCCATGGGTGTCCATCAGGTAAATTAAAAGAGATCCAGCAGAGCAATTAAATTATAGCCCTGGTGGGTGGAAAAAAACAAACTCGATATAATGAGACTCTCAAAATGCAAATTATCAGGCAGAAATTTACAAGACAAGGTACTATTTTGAGAATATGGATGCCTATATTCCATCCAAATGGACATTTAATCACAATAAAGTTAAACTAATAAAGGTAAATTAATAAAGTCAGTGGTGTAGGTCAGTAATCATACGGAAGTCTCTCCATTAAATTCCCCCTGTTACCACGAAAGCCAAACTACCGTATGATTAGATAGCTAATAATAGACATGCCACCTACTTGTTTATCAATATAAGATATACATATTATGATTGTATTTAATTTATCAGCTAATTGGCTTACCTTAGGAAACTAAGGAAAAATAAACGATATGGGTCCCACGCATGGAACCTTTTCTATCTAGCCCAAGAGCTCCAAGCGAGCTTCCCTCTTTTTCGTCGCACATTATAACATTCTGCTCATTTTTCCCGAAGCCAAGAGGGAACCACGTTGGGTTTGCTTTTGCAACGCTTATTTGTTTGCCAATTAGTTTTATTCGCAGAGCGCTGGCTGGCGGCGCTTCCCGATTCTCTGATTCTGATTCTTCGCTCGCCAATCGCTTGTTTAAATTGCTTTTCTAATTAATGCGTTGCGCAAATATTTGCCAGTGCATGTTCTGTAATAAAAAGAAGCTCGAAGTACTCGCTGCGGGCCGGGCACTTCGGGTACTTTGAATCCGACTTTCCGACGCGCGTGTTCTATTCGATTCTATTCTATATATACATCTGGCTATTCTCTTTGGCGTTCGAGTAAAGTGTATTTTCGATTTTGTAGACATTCGTCTCCCGCCGCTTTTCTCTTAGACTGTCCATTTGTGTCAAGAACTGGAATACGTTATCGTCAAATTACGTCAGTTCTGTGCTCTTTATTTTTGGTATTGGGACTTTGTACGGTTTGCTCTCTTAGCTTTTTTATTTGGTGCCGACATGAGCCATGAATTGGGTGAGTTTGAACCTGGCACGTTTTCGATTTTGCCAATTGCTGCTAATTTACGAGTTTATGGTTAATCAATTAATTTATATATTTTGCTGACGTTTAATAAAATAAATCTGTGATTTGTCAATTTACAAAAATATCGTTTCAAACTTAAATCAATCATTGACAGAAGTACGAAATGAGGTAGCCGGCAATGAGGATCCTCCTCTGCAGGCATTCCGCAGCAGCAATCCGTTCGATGAATGTTACCAGGCTCCGGTGCTAGCACCTCGGGAGTCGGATGCCAACCATGTGCCCTTGCAGCTGCTGCGACGTGCCAGTGAGACGGTGACCGCCAGCATCCTGGCGGACCTGGAGCCGGAAAAGGAGCATTTACTAGGCGAGCGCCCACTGCCACCCCCCCGTGTTCACGGGGCTCCATACCAGGGAATAGCAGAAGGTGGGTGATACTTATTAATAGCACTAGGTTTGGTCTTACTAGTTTGTTCCCAAAATAAGTATGATTTGCATATGCACTCTATGCTTGGCAGATGGTCACTATTTGTTTAAACATCGGAATATTATTATAATCATTGAAACTCCTTCCGAATTCGCAGCTCTGTTTTCGCAACTGTTGGAAAGTGGGATTTCGCATGGCCTTTTTGCTCGCCGAGCTGCAGAATTTCGCTCCAGGTCCTGGCCAGTGCAGAATTCGGGCGGGAATAATGAGCTGTTTTAGTTGCGCCCAAATGCCCACAATCAGACAACTTACACGAATGCCAAATGCCAGGGGGCTTCGCCAAAGTATTTTTCCATGAATATGCATTAGCCGGGGCTCATTTCCTGTGCATTCATTTCGCATTCGTGGACTTGCTCTGGAGTGCTGCCTTGGCCCTGCTGCCTGCAGCACCGATTCTAACTCTGGCAGTGATTTGGAAGCAGATTCACATTCTGCTTCTGATTTGGATTCAGAAAGTTCTTTTTAAATGGGGTTCGCCGCTGCAGGCTGCAGGCTTTGCTTGCATATGCTGGCTCGTTTATATTAAATAAATTCCATTTAAATGCAGCGTTTCATGGCAATTCCTCAAGCTCAACCTTGAATGGGTGTTCACCTGTTCGGCGTCACTCAGTCTCCTCCCGCCCATGCTCATGTGCTCAAGTGTCGCTTTTCTTCATGAGGGAAATGCGACATTTCTGTTAACTAAAGCCAACATGATATACGCTGGGCACACAAACATCCACGACTATTGATAAATGCAGGGCATGTGTGCTTGTGCGAGAGAATTGTGCATCCGAACTGTGGGCCCGGCCAACTCAGTTCATTACGTATACGCAGTGTGTGTGACATTTGTAAATGCCAGTAGAAGCGACGCGCCGCTGTGACTCGGCATAATGACTGCCAAATGAATGGGAAAATTTTAACTTGAACGTGCTTCAAACCATTTCGACTCTGATGCGTTTTGCCCAACAGCGATGTAAAGGTTGGCCCACTCGAGAGGTCCTTTTGACAGCTTCTGAAGGATGTCGCACTCGGCGTCTCACTTGGTCTGTCACTGGCAGTCGCAACCGTCCTAGCACTCGCACTTGCACTTGCACCTTTGCACCTGCTCCCGGCTAATTACTAAACTGCGCTTAATCGGTACTTTCTGCGACTCGCCTTTGACTGCCTGTCAGTCAAAACTGAAGCTCGGGGATCTGTTTATCTTGCATTGAATTTGCTTTGGCGTTTTCAATTTGTAGTTTTATTTGCCGAGTGTTGAAAGACGGCTTATGACCTGGTTTTTTTTTCTACCTTTTTCTTATATTTGCTCGGAGCCCGCAGCCAAGAAAGTGCCAGTTTATACTGATTTGCTGCGGAGAATGAGCTCTAAATTAGATGCGAATCGCTGGGGCGTGTGCTCAACTCCAGGTAGGAAATGCGTGACAACGGAATGCAATCTTTCCTTTTCTGCGAAAAGAAATTATTCCCTGAATGCAATGCCATGCACTGGTTAACAGGCAAGAGGAAAACAGCATTGCAACAGGACTCACATCCAGAACGCGAGAAGGATGCCGGCTGGTTGCACGGCTGGCATAGTTAAAAGGTGGCACGCTTAAGTAAACATAAATAAAATAAATGTATGCTGGATGCAGGATGCAGGATGCGGGAAAAGTGAATTGATATGTGCCAGAGAAGTGCAGACAGAGACTCAGACGAGCAGGGAACTTGAAACTCTTTGGCAAATAAATGCATAAAATGTGTAAAAGGAAAAAAAGTGATTGAGACCACGGCTGTAGTAGGAGCTGGAGCAAAAGTCATCTGAAAACTCATCGCCGTGTGCAATTTAGCGTTTAAACATATTGAAAAAGCAACTGACGTTTGCATGTAAATAATGAATAGTTGAATAACAGATATAAATCATTGAAAATACACACTCCGGGTAGTTGCTGAATGCTTTACCCTCCTGAAACCAATTTATGGCACTTTTTGCAGCAGCTCTGTAATAACAATCTAAATGGCAAGTGACAAGGAAAAAAGTTTCAAAACTTTTTGAAAAGTACAATAAATTTTCCATTAGACCTTAAAGTACTTGAACTACTACTAGCTACTCGAACTTGTTTAGTTTTTGCTCAGGCTTCATCTAGAAAGCTACTCGCCTCGACTCCAATTAACACCTCTGGAATTCAGATTCTGAGTCGTATTGTCGCATATATGACAAGAACTTGGGCCACTTCGTATCCATAGTCCTGGATCCTTTTTTCCCATCATCACATCTTTGCAAGTTGAGCTTTTGCACCAGGCTCAGTGCAATAATTTGTGTGAAAAGTTCTGCAGCAATTGAAAAGCGAAGACTTTCTGGGCATCCAGAACGAACTGGCTTAAAAAAACTTTTGCATTATTTTCATGCGCCTGGTCACTTGAAAGTTGCAGAAAATATGACAAGATAAAATGCCAAAAACTGCCAGCGGCCAGTGGGCAGGGGGCGTGGCTGCGAAGCGATAGTCCCCCCAATGGGCACAGCGGAGAGTGGTGGCGTATAATAATCAATGGGGCGAAGGCAAAGAAAGCCTTAATGACCTGGCCAACTTGCAGTTCAAGTTGTGTGGCTCAACATTCTCTTTTTTCCAGTTCCCTGCCGCTGAGTGCAGCGCATGAATATGAAATATGAAATATCACAGCAAAGGAGCAGCTTGGAGTGGAGTGGAAAGGAGTGGGGGTGGAGTGGCGTGAAGTCCTGCGAAAGTGCTGTCTTACAATACCTGAGCTCCACTCGCTATCTTTGCTGACACCTTTGCACAATTTATGCACAATTTTTTTCATTGCACCGCCAGAAACGCTGACAAAAAATAAAAGTAAGTGCTGCAAAAACTTTTAAATGAGGCACATAATTCAAAAATGTGCCGGAGACCAGCAGAGAAAATCTCACTATTCGACTATCATTGCCATTCGTTTACCATCTCGCTCCGAACATTTGCCAGCCTCGCCGCCCCAAGACAGTTTGTTATGGCGCAGATATTTTAAATTAATTAGCAAAACTTAAATATTTGCCATAGTTCAAACGCGAACTTCGCATTGAACTTGTAAATATTCAATGAGCCAGGAGCTGTAGGAAGCCTATCTCAACTGAACCGCACCGTGCTCAACGCTCAACGCATTTAACCCCTGCTTGAGTCGGCAAATATTTGCGGGCGTACATAAGTTTCTTGTTGGTCAGGGCTAATTAATTGATAAGCAAATGCTCATCATAATTGCGCCGGAGGTCAAACAAGTGTTTGTATTGAAAAGCGCTGAAGGGCCTGGACTCCTACTTCCCCAATTAATACAGGCGAAGTGGGGGCTTTCCGTTTAGTTCTCTAATTTGTGGATTACTTTGTCATTAACATCTTCATCTTGATCGGTCTCTGGTAGCTCATTGGATTAGCACTTCTAATAAAGTGCCAACTCTTTGAAACTTACCCAATTAATTTCCTCTCTTAACAAAATATTTCAAAAGTGCAAATTATAAACATAAATATTATAGATAAAGAATTGGAGAACATGTATTAGACAAAAAGTAATCTTTAAAATGATTCCTACCTTACAGATTTAATTCACAATTTATAAAGAAATATTTTAGGACTTATTATTTTTATTCTTAGTTATCATTGTTCTTCCGTCTTAAATAATATCTACTGTAATACAATATTTTCCCATCGTCACACATTAGCGCTGTTCTCCGCTCTCGCGATCCGCTAATTTTAAGTTATTAAACAAATATTTTGTGCTTTTTACTCGCGTGTCCACGAGAGTTCTCCACACGGCTGGGAGTATGTTTTTTATTAGCATAAGATAAAAAATATACACCGGATCGGAGTCTGAGAAGCTTTCCAGGAAAAGTGTTCGAGATGCTCGGGCTCAGTAGTCTGCCGCAATCGAATGCGATTAGATGGCGCTTGGAATTTAATTCGCACGGTTCGGTTTGCTGAAATTCTATTCAACGCGAAATTTCCATATAATGGAATATGTAATATTAATTTTATGAGTGCTGTGGTTAACACAACTTATTTAATCATCCTCACTGGCGAGGTAAGCTACCCACAACATTACTCGGAAACTAAAGTTTCAATTTAGACGTGAGCGTATGAGCTTTTTTCATTGGTGTGTTTGTTATTAAAATATCATTAAATTTCTAATATGTGGCTTTATAGTTTTGTAACTTTGTGATTAAATATTTTATATTTGGTAACAATTTCAAACAAAACTATTATTAAAATTCCGTCATACTTACCGAAGAAGCACGAACTATTTTCATAATTGTTTTTTTTGATTGTTGATGTTTTTGAATGTATTTAATCTCTTCTAACAGCATTTTGAGATTCATTTTGGCTGTGTCCCTTTGATAGAGATAGTTTATATTTCTAAACTTATCAGCTGTTTTGTGTTTTTATTTATTTGCCATGTCTGTTTAAGTGTTTACTTTGGCTTTAGGTTCAAAATTTAATTTTTAGGTTCTCCAAAACTTGGGAAATTTAAGTTTTTTTATTGGAAATTTATCCCTATATAATGTATTTATTGTAGATTGATATGCTAATTTAATTTAATTTGTTTTTCTTTTAAAAAAGTGATTTTATGAATGTACAATTGAATCATGCTGATTGAGATTTAATTTAAAAATAATTTTGTAAGAACACCCATCCGGTATATGTAAATGATTTCATCAACCGTATGTGCGTCCTTTAAGAGAGTCGCATGATACTCTGAATCACAATCGACACGTGATCGATGGATTGATACATTTACGCAAACATTGGTATTGTCACACCGTCAAACTAGAGCTCGAGTCGGCGAGAATTGGCGCTAAATATTTGCGCACAATTAACACGTAGTCATCGGAGTGGTGACAAATGACAAGCAGATTGTCTTCGCAAATCAAATACCAGCCCGGTCGGAGGCTGTGAAAAAAAACAATATGGTTCAGAATCTGAATCAAATCAAGTGTTGATTGCACAGCCTAACATTTGAGTCGGCAAACAGAGTTCGCATAATAATTGTGAGAACGGGGCTATTGTAAATTGTCGTTATTAGAACATCGCTTCATATGCAAATAAGAGTCTCCAGTCCAATTAGCCTGGCGGCGGGAGACTGTAGCCAGGAGATGCCAATTGGCCGGAATGCTTCCACCGGTTAGGCGAACCGACATTAAGTGCGCTAATTATAAATGGAAATATTTATGTATTTCCACCTTTTCCTTTTCCGTTTCGCCTAAACGTCGGCAGAAGTGTGAAGTTGTCGCGGCAACAATGAAGCCAATTATGGAGGCTGGAGACTGGAGACTGCCGGAGCACCTGTCGGTTGTCGTCTGGCTGCCGTGTTCTGGCCCAGGTGAAAACAGCATCCTGTCGTCCTCGCCGGCAGCGTGTCTTTGTAGCTTTCAGGTAGCTGCGGCGCAATCAGCGGTTGTCAATCTTTGTTGCAATCTTCATTTTGCCATCGTCGACAGCGCCTTGACTTGAGTGGAAAGGGCTTTCAGGACCTTCGCTATAAATCGGTGTATATCTACATTCGAATGTATGTGTGTGCATCTGCACTTTGCAATTTAAAAGCGTCGACTGCTGCTGTCTCTTAGTTATGCATGAGCAGAAGAATTGAATGGGAAATTATTTAAATGCAGCCTTATAAGCTTTTCGATGCTCGCGCTTTAGTTTCTCGACTCTTTCTTCTCAAATGTCAGTGAATTTTGAGCGTATTTTTGTTTTTGGTTTTTTGTTTCACACTATATAATTTTTATTATAGTATAATAACACTATAATAATAACTCAAGTTTCATTAGAACAATAAAATATACAAGGCAATACAATAACATCAACAAATACTAGTCGCAGGCATTAAAAAAGTTTTTCCAAAGTCATAATTAGATTTTGCAATCTATTTAAATTTTGTGAGTGTTACAAAGTACTTAGACTTCCGAAACTCCTTTGCTTCCTGACACTGACATATCTATTTAAAGTTCCACTTCTTTTTTCCACCTACAGCTAAACGCAAACAGCAGCAGATCCAGAATTTCAACCAGAGGCAACTGCAACAGCAGCAGCAGCCCAGCAACAAAGCACTGGCATTGGCGCCAGGTGACAACATGACACAAGGAGCTGGCAGCGGCAGTTACCCTGCGCCGCAGGCTGGATCGCAGGCCACCCCCAACCAGGACCTTGCGCCGCCGTTGCATACAAAATTAGACATACAGAAGCTCCCGGAGGGCATGGGAGCGGGAGCTGCCGTACAAAACGCTGCAACAATAATTTTAACGCCGACATCATTAAATTTAACAAACACAACACAAAATGTTGCCGGCAACAATGCGGGTCCCGGCAGTGGGAACGGGAATGGAAATGGAGCCGGAGCCGGAGTTCATGGCGACGAGTACAGAGGACCCAAGTGGTAAGTGAAAAGCTCATGTGGCCAAAAATGGGATAAGGACGTGGGGAGGAGTTGGGCATCGCCATTCCATTGTGCAGATTTGTGCTTAACCCTTTGAATGCACTTCCGGCGGGACAGCAGCGCCGCCATTCACACTTTTTCCCTGTACGCGTTTTTCGCATATCCGCTCCTTGCATTTCGTTTTGTATTTGTATATTTCTTTTGTGCGCCAACAATGTCCTCGTGGCTGTTGCCGCTGCACTAGGCAGCGGCGCGTGCTTCCGGTCTTGTCGGGTTTCGGAGCTTCTATTCCTGTGCTCAGGTTCCTGGTCCCTTGTCCCACAACCCATGTCCCAGACCCCGGTGGTCATGTCCCCGACGTCTAGTCGCAGTCGAGCCTTTTCTTTCTTTATTTTATTTTTTTGGCTATGACACTTACTTTAATAGCTGGCGAAATGCCTTGTTAGCTGCCGGCGTTTATTTCAGCTTGTTCAGACATACGAACAACAATGTGGCGTATGAGTTACAGCACTGATGGCTTGCAGTGTTACGTATCCGACCCGTGGGATGTTCCATTGTGCCGGAATCTGTGTTTATGTCTCATTTCACTTGGAGACCTTCAGAAGCAGGGCGAAGAAACTGTAGGCATTGTTGATGGTCTGCCAAAAAAAGGGGTTTCGTTAAAATGGCTAGAAATTGTTTTAGAAGAGAGGGACTTTACTTTTACAAATATTGGCAATCCTATTTCAAAGAAGACTCCTGCCCGAACTTTTACCGGCTTCTTTAAAAATTCCATATAGCAGTTAAGTAGTTTTCGAGTGCCCACCGAATATTCCAGCCAGTTGGTGCCAAAAACGCTATCTGTAAGAGCATTGGCATGGATAGTTATTTCATTGCCGTAGTAGCAGGGAAGGTAGATTTGGACAATCATCACGGCCACGAACTGCACAGTTGTGACAAAGAGCCCAGGACGCTGACTGAAGCCCATATGCACCAGTCGATAGGCACTGAAGCAAATTATGAAGGCGCTAAAAACCACCTGGGACAGGACATAGGGTGACACGAGCAATTCGCATTCCCTGGTCAACGTCCGAACCTTTGCGTGGAGCTGGAAAAGCCTTCGTAACTCCGGCTTGGCCTTCTCTTCAGGCACATCTTTCAGGGATTGAAATCGCCGGCTCATCAACTGGAAGGTCAGGGCGATCTGGAACATAAAATAGCAGCCGAGTGTGTCAAGCAGTATGTTGGACAAGCAGCAGAGCGTCATGGCCACCACATTATAGCTCCAGGCGTAAAAGTAACGCTCTCTAGTGCGCCACTCAAAGGGCACAAAGTATGCGAAAGGAAGCTCGTACTCTTCCTGGAAAAAAACACTGACATACCCCATTAGCGCCACAAAGAGGCTACCGCCAATGTACCAGTAAAATATGCGCTTAAAGCCTTTCTGACGCTCTTGCCAGAATCTGATTTCGTGGGAATTCCGTAATTCATAAGCCGGATCATGCTCCAGATCCCTAATGAACTTGTCGGCCTGCTCCCGGCGATACCAAATATTAATGAGCTTCGTAACCAGAGCCAATTCGGTCAGCGACATGTACAGAACCTGGCCAGCCTCCTCGAAGTCCGACGATGTAATGGCTTCGAGCCACATCAAAGCAATGTAGGTAAGGGTGAGTGGTAAGTGCAGAAAAAATGGATAAATCCGCTTTAGCCAGTACATAATACTTCCGGACTCTCTCTCGTTTGGCCACTTTAGTAGTCCTATCCAGCGCTGGACCACAATCAAGAAGTGCATTGCAGATATACGATTTGTAGATTCCATTCTGGGTTATATCAAGTACTTTTTAATTTGAAACTACAGGTTTTCAGGGCTTTTGTAACCTCCTGATGACTTCCAGGGGTATTTATAGCTCTCCCTCGGGATTTTCCTTTAATAAAAGCAGAACTAGGGTAGTAATGTCATACTGGTTCACGTCGAATCTAACTTTTAACATTCCAGTTCATAGAATTGTTAAAAATTTGCCTCTAAAGCGGCCTGCATCTGCAAAATAAGATACTTTTTAAGGTACTTGGTCTGAGTCCTTTGGAACCGGTTCTTTTGGTGAGCCATGATTTCGTGGTGCTCCGTCCCTAATTTGTTTAGGCAATCAGCCAAAATATTTAAACAAATAATAGGCAGGCAATTATAATAATTTGATTTCTGACATAATGAGCTTCTAATTGCTGGCGTCTTGAATTCGAAATCACGCAATGAAAAGTCAAAAGGAGTTTGGGTTAACCCCATCATAGAAGCTCCTTTCAAGGCTATTTCATTTTTGAAATCAGTGCATTAAAGGCCTAGGAGCAGTAAAGAGGTATATTGGTGTTTATTGTATGAAAAATAAATATTCAAAAATAGCTAAGACTCAAAATATCTTTCCTTTTTTATTAGAGATTTTATTAGAAAATCCTTAAGTTTTCAATTTAATTATATTTTCGTTTAAAAATGAATATGATTACAAAATGGAGTATGGTTAAAAATTTATTCCCAAATTTTAGTTGCAATGAACTAAAATCAAAAAGCTTGAAATATTCATATTTCAAAATAAAAACCATTGGAACCATTATTTACTAGAAATTTTATTTATTCGTTGCTTTTAGTGAAAACATTGGTGCAATATTACATTTAACTATTTATTAAAATGAAAAATAAAGTACTGCCTTTTTTGGCATTTGAAAAATTTCATTTCATTTGGATACATTTAGTAGAAGAGCCAAGAAACTGTAGGCATTATTGATGGTCTGAGGAATAGAAAAACTATTTTAAAGGAAGTGATTGAAGCCAAAATTAAAAATAATAAACCTTAACGAAAATTGGCAATCCAACGGCAAAAAAGTTTCCAGCTCGAATGTTAACAGGACGTTTCAGGTATTCCATGTACGAATTCAAAAGCTTTCGAATGGCCGGCCGACAATGTAGCCAGTTGGTGTGATAGACTTCGTTGGTTAACTGGTTGGCATTGACGGTTATTTCGTTGCCATAATAACAAGGCAGGTATATCTGGAGTATCATAACGCTAACAAACTGCAACATGGCTATAAATTGCCCCGGATTCGCGCGAATTCCCACGTGCTGGAGGCGATAGCCGCTGAAGCAAATGATCAAAGCACTGAGAATAATCTGTGATAGAATATAGGGTGAGACGATTTTCTGGCAGGATACAGATAATCTAGAAAATTGAAAGTTTTAGATACATATACTCAAATTTTGACATCCAGTTACCTCTTAATGCTCTGATGCAACTGGAAGATGTGCCGAAGCTTCTGACCAAAATCGAAGTCATCTTGTATATCCTTAAGAGTCCTCAAACGAAATCCCAGCAAGCGATACAAAAGAGATATGTGGAATAGAAAATAGCAGCCCAGGGTGTCGAGTGTTATGTTGGAAATACAGGTCAATGTCATTCCAGCCATATCGTAGCCATAAGCTAACCGGAATCCTCTTTTGTTTTGCCACTCAAAGGGCACATAGTATGCAAAGGGCAGTTCGTAGTAATCTAAAAAAAGGACACCCGTACAGCCGCTGTAGACGACGCCCAGACTTATCAGGATGTAGATGTAAAAGAATCGCTTGAAGTAGCTTTGCTCCTTTCGCCAAAAATCCATTTCGACTTGGCTGTGAAGGCCGTAGTGCGGAGAACTTTTCAATTCTTCCATAAGCTTCCAGGCTGCTGTGCGGTGGTGCCAAATGCTGAGAATCTTCACCACCAGCGCCATCTCGGTAATCGACATGTACAGAACCTGGCCGGCCTGCTCCAGGTTGCTGGACACCAATGCCTCCAGCCACATCAGCCCAATGAAGGTGAATGTTATGGGCAGGTGCAGGAGGTAGCGGTAGTTCCGTTTCACAAAGCCCGACAGCGTCCATTGTTCCTCTTTATCCAAAGACCAGGGCCACAGGCCGAATAATTGCATCACCCTTAGAATCAGGTTCATGGATTCAATGCGATCCTGTTTATTGTCCATTAGGCTTGCCTTTGGCTTTTAGTGTTCCACCTGTTTGGCTTTTATAGCCATAATTGCCGTGGTAATTATGAACAATTACGACTACATTAATTAAACAAAAGCTATTAACATGTTTGTCTTCACTTTCGAATGACTTCTTTCAGGTGGCTTTATTTGACATTACATTGGAACTTGATTTCTGAGCATGTGGGTCTGCTGGCCATATTTTTGGGGCTCTGGGCCATGGCCTTTGTACTTTTCCCGGACTATGCCCAACCACAGACAGCGATCATGCGAATCGCATTCCTCTTCGTTGGCGCCCAGATCGCCGGCATTCTGGTCTCCTTCGCCCACTTGCCCGACATGCTGGGCATGCTTTTCTTCGGCGTGCTCTACACCAACGTGGGTCTGGCCAACTTTGAGGGCTACCAGCGTCTTGAATTGTTCCTGAGGTAAGTTTTTTAAAGTCTTAGTTATCTTTAAAGCCTTAAACTAACTATTTATATTAGGGAAATGGCTTTGATCAACATAATGCTACTGGCTGGCCTGGGTCTGGATGGCGACGCTTTCAAGCGCCTTTGGTCTATGATTCTGCGACTGACTCTGCTGCCCACCATTGTTGAGGTTGCCGTCATTGCCGGATTGGCCTACCTAACTCTCTCCATGCCCTGGCTTTGGGGTATAGCCTTGGGGTAAGTGATACCATGAATATTCTGTTTAACAATAGAATTTGTAATAAACTTGTCTAGAAACATAATATTAAAGTAATTAGGATTTTAATTTGTACAAATGCATTGAATAATAATTAATTTTCAATCACTGGCCATATTTTTGTTCTCCGATTTGCCTGAAAGCAATAAATATTTGATGTATCCATTTTGTTGTATATTTTGGTTAAAATTAGCAAAATTAGGCAAAGAATTCTGAAATTCTATATTGATATTTAATTGATTTTGTATTTAAATTGTGTTTGGGTAACTACAAAAACTTCTGAATACAAAGCTTTAAATGAATTTAATTATTTATTAACAGAAAAAACAAATCCAAAATAATTAATAATAAATTCTACATAAATCTGAAATATTGAAAGTATTAATTTCTTGCATCTTCATCTCACAGCTTGGTAATCACTGCCGTGTCCCCGAACGTTGTAGTGACTGTGATGCTGAAGCTGAAGGAGGACCGACTGGGTCTCAATAGTGGCATCCACACGCTCATCTACGCCATGACCACATGCAACGATGTGGTGGCCATCTTCATGTTCGGCGTGATAATCAGCGTAATATTCTCGACGAGTGCGTGCCATTCGCGTCCCCCCATCCGTAGACTCGAAATAACCCCACCAATATCGCTCTCTTACAGCCTCGCTCACCCAGCAAGTGCTGCAAGGACCCATTGGCATTGGGATTGGACTCGTTTTTGGCTATCTCTACGGCGTGATGCTCCAGTACTTGCCGTCCCGCCACGCGGTAAGCATTCTTCTCTTTCGCCGCCTTCTGGAGAAGCCAGACAAAGGCGCGGCCCAGACGAGCGGACTGCACTTAAAATGCACATTCAGTGAACACTTAGACACTCAATCAGCGCATTTAATGATGCAAAACGCGCACAAGTCCCACGGGGAGGCGCTTGACAGGGGGCGGCCGGTCGGCTGCTGTGCCATATGTACATGGAGACTGTTAAAGCCAGTGCACTGAAAAGAATTATTCATGAAAGAGTTACAGTAGCTCTGGGTTATGTAAAAGTCAAAAAAGTCAATAGGTCAAAAAAGGATTATTAGGAAAGGATTGTCACCAAGACTATTAAAGAATAGTAACAGCTTTTTTTGAAGTGCATTCTTCTGCAGTCACCATCCCTTTTGGGTGAAATGTTTGTGTGGGTGCATTTTGCATAAAAAGACACTTACATGCACAGAGGCAGCTTCAACGTCGACGGCTACAACGACACAAATGCAACGCCAACAAAAACAACAGATAGAAATGCAACAACGACAACGATGGAGGGAAGCTGGCGACATTTGCGACGACAGTTACTGCCAGCATCTATGTGAAGTTATGCCGGGGACATTGAGGCAGCCACAGCCCGAGCCACAAAACTCATTGCCGCAACTTACACCGCTAATGGCGCGCATAATCAAACGCCATGGGTGGCGGTACTGGATGCACTGGCACATCCCCTCTTCCCCTGCTTCCTCTTTTTATCACACATACCCACATCGACTTCTCATAACTTTTGTTTTCTGCAAGTCGCGCTCGCCTTTGCCACCGTCAAGTGGCATCCGCATCCACGCAGGGCTGCAGTTTGTACAAAAATTTCACGCTGTGCGCCACTTGCATCCTTGCATATTTTACACACCCACTCCGGAGGCGCCCAACCATCTAGTGGCACCCACAGCCATACATTGCCACGGGCTATTCACAGTCCTTCCCGAGGAGGGGGTGGTATACGGTTGTCATCAGGCCTTCTCGGTTTGGGTGCCAGCATCTTTTCGCATGTCATTGCTACCGCTTTTATTTTATTATTATTACACAGTCTCTTGTAATTTTGCATTCAACGTCACCTTTCGCTACTTTTTCCCACCACTTTTTTCCGAGCTAGTTGACAGTATTTTTCAATAAGATATTCGAGAGAAACTTTTTTATTCAAGCGGTGCGGAAGAAAACTCGAAGTTGTTCGAGGCGGAAAATTAAAAGTCCCGTCTATATCTACTTTAGTTTTTCCCATAATAAAGGCGTAAAGTGTCCCGCCAGTCGACAGTAACGAAGCAGACTTCATAAAAATTGTATGCTAGCAGAGCAATTACCTAAAAATCTTGTTGAACTAAAAGAATTAATATCTATTGACGAAGTAGATGAAAAAGGGAATCAATATGCTCTATGGGTATTAAAGCATGATGACACAAGTAAGACTTAAAGCAGAGCCAGAGACCTGGAACATTTTGCTTCAATTGCAGTATACGTTGCGTATACGCAACGTGGCCACATGACCGCCCATCAAAACAGAAACAATGCCCAGAAAGAGTGGTCTGAAAAACAAAGCAGGATCCATCAGAGTTTTGTAAAGTGATTTTCCCCCTTCGTTCGCTTTTTGTTCCACTGCATTCGAACTCACCTGTTTCGACATTCACATCCACTCTCTTCATATCTGTCTTTTGGCCATCCATTGCAGACCTACGCAAATGGTCTGCGCTTCGTTTTGACCGTCTTGGGAGGCACCATCGCCGTGATGGGCAGTCGCGTCATTGGCTACACGTCAGCCGGCGCTCTGGGTTGTGTAACGATGGCCTTTATTGCGAGGATTGGCTGGCGGCGGGAGGAGGCCAAGCTGACGCCCGAACAATTGCAGGCCCAGCAAATAGTAAGTATGAAATAATAAATATAAATGTATGCTTAAAAATAATACAATTTACTTTAAAAAGTTTTAAGAATTTCGTTAGAATATGCAAATAAAATATATAAAACCTTTCTTCCAAAGACCCTATATCTACTTTCTTGCAGTGCATATCTGTCTGGACACGGCTCAGTCGGTTAGCTCTTTGCGTTTCGAAGTGTTTTGGCCTTACCTTTGCCTGACTGAGTGCTTTCAAGGTATTGGCCTTCCGACTCTTTTTGCCGTGTTGTTTTTTATTGACTTCTCTTCTGTTTGGTTTTGGGTCAAGAAAAATGTTCCATGCTAGCATTGCCATTTTTTAAGGCTATATGTGGGATTTTGCCAGGCAATTTGTGACATCACGTCCTTGTCCCATGTCAGAGTAGACTCTGGCTGGTCCTCGATTTGTTTCGAGCATGTGTTTTTCTTCTTCTGGCTGTTTTCCATTTACCTTTCAGTCTAAACTTTTAACCCAGCTGTTGGCCAGTCGATGTTTTTTACGCTTCTTCAGCACTTGGTATCCAAGGCAACACTGAGCCGATTCCCGTAACTTGTTCACTTTCTGGACCCGACAAACAAGCTAAGAGCAAAGTTATAGAAGGGGCTCTAATTATGATAACGAATCTCTTTAATGGCTGTACATTGATTTGTTTTTCAGGCTAGTGTACCCAAGCGTCTGGACCTCATGTGGAAGTTCCTCAAGCCCGTCTCGTTCGCCCTCATCGGAAAGGAAATTCACTTCGCCGTGCTGGAGGGCCATGTAATCGGTTATGGGACCTTGCTGGTCCTCGTCGGAAGTCTGGTAATTAAAATGGTCGCCGGCGGTGCAGCCGCCGTGCCACTTATTTAATTTCTTTCGTTTTCCAGTTTTGTGTGGGGAATACTCTGCTATGCGACGGTCTTGGTCCCCTAGGGTTTCGGTTCAAGTTTCCCTCAAAACTGGGGCTGAAGAAAAAAAAAAGAAAACAAAGAATTCCAGAGATGGCAGACGGGGGGAACCGAAATGAAAATGTTCCGACACCGCAATGCAAATGTTACCTGCACAAAACAGAAAACGAGCAAACGGATCCCAAATGGGGCTGGATCGGGCTGGGATACCAACTAGAGATGACCACTTTCTTTTTTCTCTTCTGTTTTCCAGTTTCGCTTGGCTTTTGCATATTTATCCACATATGGCGGAAATCTGTCGAGAAAGGAACGTGCCTACATTACAATTTCCGGTTTTCCCAAAGCAACTGTCCAAGTAAGTTTCCCGTTCCGCGTGTCATGTTTCTGCGGTTCCCGTGCCACCTCGGGCTGGTCTGGGTTGGCACCATCCATTTTTGCCATCCTGTGTCTCCTGGCCCAACGGTGCTTGCGGTCCTGGCGCTTTTTATTTCATTGCCGGCCATTTGGCCCTCTTGCCACTGGCAACCGGACAGGTCAGCCCGGTCTGTCCGAGTCCTTTCGAGTTTTCCCCCATGCTTAAGTTGTACACGTATTTGCAGGTCATGTTCTCTTGGCCAGAGTCACTTCTACAGCGACTGCAGTTGGCATGGCAGCCTTTTGTTTGCAGTTTCACCGCAAACGGACATTTTGTTTATGTCGCCTGGCCAGTGAGTGTGTCTGTGTCTGCATCTGTGTGTGTGTGTTTGGTGTGTGTGTGAGTGCGTCTGTGGTTGCCAGAAATTTAAATGTTCCGCTGGCTTACTTACTCGCCGACAACCAACAAAAAGAAGGCGGTGTAGGTCACATGTGCCGCTGTTGTTGGCTGCTAAACTTTGTCCTAATATGCGGTTGTGCATATTTCACTGTCCGCCTTTTTTGTCCTGATTTAATTAAAATATTACAAGGCATACAGAGCTACTGTGTTTAATCCGCCCCTGCCGCTTTTGCTGCTGCTGCTGGTGTTGCATATCACTCATACGCAGTGGTGGCCGCTGCTGTTTCCTAATTTGAGGCATCTAACCGCTCGTACTCTTTCACTTTCAGGCAGCTTTGGGCCCGGTGGCCCTGGATATGGCACGTGCAGCGAAAGAGTCCAACCAAGCCCAGTTGGATCTGGCTAGCAATGTGCTCCTCATCTCGGTCCTGGCGATTATCCTTACCGCCCCCCTGGGCGCCATCCTCATGCTCCGACTGGCCCCCCACTGGCTGAAACACGGTGATGAAGTGGAGGCGCTCGAGTCCCCCACCACACCCACACCCACCAACCAGAGCAACGCCAACTCCAATGCATTCGGAAGGAAGTAGCATGCGCGGCAAGCAGCTCCAATCCGGAGTTGACCCTCCGCTAAAAGTTTTAATCCCACTGTGCTTATCCTAGCCATTCTAGCCATCCGTACTTATACGTAATTGTACTTAGAAATACACAGCATCGGAAATAAAAGTGAATGCGAAAAGTTACAAACATAATTCTATTGAGAGTTTTTCAATTTCTTTTTCTTTTCAATGCAGGACCTTTTCTAAATGTCACTCAAATAATTTATACCCGAGTTCCGTGTCATTATTCTGCAGAGGGAGGTGAACATTTTACAATTCATTCTCAATTCCTTGTTTGGAAAAACCTTTTTTATTGGTCTAATTCCGCAGTTATTTGCTTACTTGTCCCCAAATTTCGGCGAATTAACAAAGTTTAGCGTTAATCCTGAAGGACGGTGGATTTAATTGTTTTCCCCGACACTTTGGCCAAGAACAGCATTTTCGGCAACTAATTATGACTGGATCTATGTTAATCCCTGGCCCGAGCCTCTGCTAATTGATTTTATAATTAATTTTGAGGGGCTTTAAACGATTCCGTCTCACAGAATGGCTGTATTTTTTTTCCATCTGCCAATACAATCCGAATTAATGATTGACAATTGAACAAGATTTTACTGCTGCTGGTATATTTCTTGGCCTGGTCGATTAAATGAGCGAACCCAAAATGATTTTGTTATTTCCAAAGACCAGCCATCGGAGTGACTTCCACTTCCTTCTCCAGTTTTTACGCCTGCTGCTTTTGTGGCAGCAGTATTTCGCTTCAGGGAAGCAAAAACAGGACCAAAAGCAGGAAAAAAAACACAATATAATGGAAAGCACAAGAGAATGGCATTTAATTGAAAAGTGATTGTGGGGCCAACTAGAATCGAGTTTTTCCGACCCCTTTTCAAAGCCAAGAGGATGTCGCCAAGCAGATGCAGAATTTGCAATGCAAACGGCTTAGAATGAACTTGATGTTCTGACCGCCTTTGAAGCCTTGTTTTTATTGCTCCAGCGGTCGCTTGCATGATGACCAAGGCTGCAGTGAGAAAAAAATTTCCATAATTTAGGGACTTTTCAGGCAACAAACTGACTTTTGGTCTAGTACGCTAAAATACTTTCAACTCTCTAGCTTTAAATGTTTATCCCTTAAAAACATAAAAAAAAATCGTATTTATTAACCGTGTATAACCTGAGTTTCATCTGTGACCCGGTTGAGTGAATGCTGAAAGGAACGATATTAAAAGATGGCAAAAATAAAATAAAAGAGTACAGGAGCAATGTCCACTGAGAATCTAAAAAAACCTATTATTTTTATTATCCTGCAGCTGTTCATTTTTTTCTGTATGACCTCCCCTAACTTTTAAACTCCGCCCCTATTTTTCACCCGCATCGGTTCCCTTTGTGCGAGGCAAAATAAAAACAAAAAAGAGTTGGAAATTGAAGGTAAATTAGTGTTATTAAAATGGCTGCACAAAAGTAATTGCGCAACTAAATGAAAATTTTAATGAAAATTCTTTGGTTTCTACCTTAACCGACCTGTGCTTCGTTTCGTTGTTTTGTGCCCTTTGCCCTTTGCTCCTCAGCTCTCCGTTATTAGTTGCATTGTTTTCGCAGTTGATGTCCGTGCAATTAGCATAATGAAAGCATCTACCCTACCCTAAGCCATACCCCAAGCTTAGGACCGAACAAGCGGCAGACAAAATAAAATTAAAAAGTGACCTGAAACTAGTTTTTTGATCTAAAGGGGCTTCTCAACTATTTATTTTAACAAATACTCAGGGATTAAATTTCGATAAAGGTTTTTTGGCATAATGAAGTACTTGAGAATCCAAAACATCAGATTTTGATTGTGAAAGTACTTAACAATTGAGTTATGTTGGTTTGCGAAATGGGCGCATCGCATGCGGAATGGCGCATCAATTATGCTGCCAGTGGAATAATCCTTCAAAACTCATTGCCCTTATCGCGGCCATTGAAATGCCACCGGCCATAGATCAACCTTATCAGCGCAGCCAAAGCATTTTCCTGTGCCAAATAAATTCAGCAGTTTATTATTCTAATTCGCATGCCGAATTCCGGCAGAAAAAGAACGCCAGGCACGTCACCACCTTACGCTCTAAGCCACCCACAAAGTCCTCGTGCGCCCCGACTGGGAAAAGGAGTTCGGCGAGTGGAAAACGAAATCAAATCAAAAAGTTCACAAAAATGCCAAACCAACAGAAATTAAGTTATAAAATTTTAAGGACTATGCGCAGTTTAATTTCCAAATGCCATGCCACCCACGCCAGGCCACAGATATACACAGGTGGGCGGGGTTGTTGTAGGCTGGGCAGGTGACTCCCAGAGCTCGAAAACTCAAGGGCCCGGCTGGGCAGGAGCGTATTGTGGTTTTTGTTATGCGCCGATTACCATAAAAACAAGCTAAAGAAAGTTGCGTCCTCAGACCTCCCCGCCTAAGAGCTCCATTCTCAGTCCTCAGTCCTCAGTCCTCTGCTCTCCGTTCTCCTTCAACGGAAACGGAAATCAAGAAAACAAAAAGAATGAACGAACCCAAATGAAGTCAAACCTGACGCGGCGCCCGCTCCTTCAGTTAATAAAGTTAGTTGCGTTTGCCTTGACGGCGAAAGTTTTGAGTTATAAGCGCGCAAATTATGGCTTACAACAAAGCCAGTCGGCAATAAGCAGCATTGGCAGAAACAAACACAAAAAAATACAAAAAACACCAACAATGCCGAACAAAGGAAAACAATTAACATGACGAAGACACATAAAATTTCCACAACCACTTCTCCGGCCGGCAGCCTGCTCGCCGTGGATTGAAGACTGTGGATTGTGAATTGTAGATGTAGTTGGGTGCGTCGAATTAGCGGTTATATTTGCTGGCTCGAAATGTGCGTCAATCACGAGATGGGAGTCACCCGGCGCTCCACCAAAAATCCTGATCCATACCACGCACCCCCCACCCACCACTTGGCTCTTGTCTGCGCGTCTTGTTGTTTTGTTAATTTTAATACATGTACTTTTTATCGCTCGGCATTCCCCGGCAAGTTGCCGGCTGAATTAAGCCATTTGTTAGCCTGTATCTGTAGCTTAGCTTTTGGCAGCTCCGCCCCATCCTTTTGCCACAGCTATCGGTGGGTTTTCGGGGTCACAGGTCACAGCACATCACAGTTATTTTCGTGCAAATGGCATATTTTTTATGGCTTGTCGCTGGCGTCTTGTTCCTCGCGCTGTAATTAGACAAAATTGTTGGCTGCCACGACTCCACCCAATTTCCCGCCCTCTCAAAAACAAAAAAAGGAGGGAGGAGGTCCCCGCCCATTTATTCTTTTACTTCCTCCTTCTCCCCAAGCCCTCATCGCATTGTTCCGTCAGCCCTTAATTCCGCCACTCATGTCCGAGTCTCCTGGCATTGTTTTCCTGTCGCTGGAGGAGTGTTTGACACTTGGAGTTCAGGAATAGAAAAAAGTATTATTTCTGCTATTGTGTTTTCAAGGAAAACTGTTAATTTTGAAAACAGTTACATATATGGTAGCCTTTCAGGGGTCATTGCATTTATAATACATTCTTTTAAAAGTCCGACTAGTATTTCCAAATATCAAATACTAGTATTTTTAAAATATAAAAAAAAAATGTTATTTTATTCTGGTCTACATATACATAGATACATGGAAGTACACGACATCTCAAAACTTAAGGAGCTATCAATTTATATGTACTCTGCTAAGGGCCCGAAAGGATAACTTTGAACCCGTTTTTCTTAAAACAGCGTTTCTAAAGTCCAAAATCTCGACTTTTGAAACTGATTGGTTGAAAATTGGTACACAATTTTCTTGAATACATTTTCCCCAGGAATTGTGGGTTTTCCTCAATTCCCCACTTTTGATCCTTCCGATGGCCATAGCTCTGCCAAATTGTATACGATCAGGACATAAAGTACTTTTCAGTAATCAGCGCACCCAGAAGCGACTTTCCTTATTCAAAACATTGCTTAAATATCGTTGTTGAATTCTTTGAATTATTTCCAAGGGGTACCCCCATAAAAGTGTGGGTTTTCCTGATTTCCCCACTTTTGCTCCTTCCGATGGCCATAGCTCTGCCAATTTGTATCCGATCAGAAATTAAAGTACCTTTTAGTAATCAGCGAACCCAGAACATTTCCTCATTCAAAACATTGATTGAATATCGTTTTTTAATTTTTCGAATTTTTTCCGAGGGGATAGGGGATACGCTCAATCGGCCGATTCTTTGTAGGTTGTAAAATATAATATAATCTGTGGGAAGATCCAATCTTCAATTTCCAAAAACACTTTACTATGGTTGCGTTATGTGAAAGCTATGGATATAGTCAGCCATATGTAGTTGATAAGCTTTTAAAATAGTTTTTAAGCAAGATGACAATTTGGGAAATATTTTAGATCGGGACCATCAAATACTTTGTGAAAATATACAACACTTTGCAAGTATGTTTTGGGTTTTTAGTTTTTATTGTTATCAGTTGGGGTGCTCAGCTTATTTCAAAACAAATATTTTATAAAACGAAATGATTCAATTACACATATCACGAACGAAACTGGCTGTGCCATTTACCAGATTTCCCGACAGCGTCCGCGGTGGTCGGGAAGGTAACCCGGCTGGCAGGGGAAGTCAATCATGGCCACCTCCATGATTTTCTCGGTCACAGGCTGTCCGCTGGTAGGCTTCACTGTGGTAGAGGCCTCGTACGAGGCCAGAACCTGCTGCTCGTCCAACTCGACGCACTGGTTGGGCTTGGCGCGGGTCTTCTGGTTGTTGGGGCACTCGACCATCTTGAGACAGTATTTGAGGCAGGGTCGCGGGGCAGGCACCTGGGTTAGCTTTTTGTTGCAGGTGTAGTGGGCCTTGCAGCCCTCGGCGATCTCTGGAATATTGTTGTTGATGAAGAACGGACGGCGAGGCTCCTCCGTAGTTGTTGTCGTGGTTGTGGACTCCCTGTGAAAAATCCTTCCTAGGAGACCGCCCTGCACGGCACTGACCAGCAGAGCAGCCAAAATAGCCACCAGAAACCGCTTCATCGCTTGTGCTTACACTCTGAGAGCTGTTCGACTATTGTGGGCTTTTTCGATCCGCGGCAATCTGTCGCAGCCACTTGATAACCTCTGACCCCGAATCAAAACCGGGAGGGAAGAGGCGGCGGTTGACTGATAAACACTCGGCCCGCATGCACGCGTACCACAAAACACAAGACATACATACATTCACTGTGTGGCCTATACTAGCACTGTATGTATGCGTTTATAATTCCAAACAGTTTTTCTTTCAATTCTGGTTGGCTTTAAATTGGTTTATCGCCAAATTCAATTGCATTTGAGGCGCAGCGCACACGCACATTTGGCAAATTTGACACAGGAATTGAATTATCTGCATTCTGTGAACCGCAAAATTGTATAAATAAATATTAGTCAATTCGGTATTTCATACATGCGTGCGCTTAATTTGAAGAGCCGTGCCCTGTCCAGCGAGTGGCCAGAGGGCGAATACGAGTTTGAACTGGCACTCCAGCTTTCTATTTGAATATGTACACGCCGAACAGGAAACGCACACAAAAATCGCACGAATATTCAATGATAATGTCGATTATAGGCGAACGATTGCTAAATTGCGCTTTAAATGACTTTAATTGATAACGACGATAAAGTGGGATTTGTTGTTGAAAATTAATCAAATCCCAAACGTGAGTAGTATTTCAATTTTTTCAGTGATGTTACCAAATGGAATAGTTAGGGAATACCCCTGCCATTGAGAGCGTATTTGATCTTCACAACATATTAGATTAAAATATTAGTGATTACCAAATATGTTTACTAAACAAATAAAAATCCCCTCTATCGTTAATTGCTGGCAATAAACCATTTTCTATAAGCCGACAACCAAATCCGTGTAAGCCTCCAGGAGCTTAAGATTTTACAAATCGAGTGTAATGAAGCTGCAAACCACCGACTCCATTTGTGGATCGGGAAACTAGGACTTGGTTCAATCTGGATGCTGGATGCCAACTATCTGAATAATTGATATTAATCGCATCCAAGAGCTGTCAAAATTAATTTGTGATGTGTTTTCAAAGCAAGATTATTGATGATGATTACGGCCGGGTACTAATGAATGCAGCGGCTAATGGAGGCGAGCCATCCAGTCGCCCATTCGGCAAACCGTCCTATCATCCAATCATCCCAACATCCAGCAATTCAAGCCATTCGATACTTGGACAACTGAGTTGAGTAGCGGCTTGTAGTTCCCACAGCGGCATTAATTACGCTTCGAGAAATTGATTTGGCTTGGACGTGGGCCCTCCATTGTCTGGATGGGAAATCGTTTAATATGTATTAGCATTTATTGCTGGCCAAAGTTTTAGGAGGCGAGGGGGAGCGAAAAGAAAGTTAAGACAACGCCAGGCCGGAAATTGTCGAATACTGATACATCCGCCGGAAATAAGTTCAATTCTTGTTGCTCCTCCTACCGATGAGTAAATTAAGTTAAAGTCTGTGGTGCTGGGCTATCGGTTGATCGAAAATGAAGGACAACGCCGGCCAGACGCCTTGCTCACAGAATAATAAAAAAGAATGTCTATCGCAAGAAACATATTTCAGAATCGTCGTAAAGGCGGCTTAATTGCCGCCCACTCTTCAGTTCACAGCACTTTGCACAATAAACAGATCATAATCTGGCTAAAAACTATCAATTTTCAGCCAAACAGAGCGAAGTATCTCAATCGGATGGAGTGCGAGTCCTTGCTTAAAAGCCAGAGTGACAAAAAAACAAATGAAAATGCTTTACAACATAAAAACAACTGGAGGTTGGGATTTCGAAGCCAGAGATGCTCCTGAAGGGCGTAGGGTGGTAGCTACGATGTGTTAACACTTAGAGGGAGCCAGGCCGGGACAGTCGAAATCTTTCGATAGGGAGGTCCTCATAGATTTACGCACACTTAAGCAGCGTTTACTCAGTCCTGGGTCTGGGTCTTCAGTTCCTCGGCATCAAATAGTCGTATAAATTCTTCGGCAGGCGCAACTATAGCCCGGCTGCTTCCTTTCCTATTTCTTTGTTTTGTTTATCGTCTCTTTGTCTTTGGCTTTCGCTTGAACTGCTGTCCGGGCGGAGCTCACACTGAGGGGTGGTAGTGGAGGGAGGGGGTACTTCCGGGGCGTGAATGAAGTGCCATGTTCTCACGCTCACGCATTTGCCAAGTGCTGCTGCTGATGGTGGTGGTGCTCTTGCTGGCCCACATGTCGTATGAGTTTTATGTCCCTCTGTTTATATGACTGTCTTCTGTGCGCTCAATCGTTTTTCAGACACATTTATTTGTCTTGCTGCTGCTTCTTTGTTAGTTTAACAAATAAAATTAGTGCTATAAACATTGTCTCAGTCTGGAACTGGGAGCTGAAACCAGGACCATTTCCACAGCCACCCACCACACTATACATCTCAATTAACATTTGGAGAAAAGCAAAAATTCTGACAAAAACTTATCTTCATCTAAAACAGTTCACAACCAATAAATCAGTTAGCTTATGATCTCTATCACTGGGCTCTTCCCTCTGGAACTACGCCACTGATGTCTTCTTTATATTTGTTTACAGAATCGCAACTCTTTGCCACTTCAAAGTTTTCTTTTTTCCCATTTTTTTAAGCTTTTGTTGTCGCTATTTCTTAGGGGATTTATTGCCACAGCCAATTTGCTGGTATAGCAAGGGGCAGTGGCAGACAGAATCCTTGTCTTGTATCCCATTTCCGGCAGATGACTCGGATGTTTGTTTTAGCGGCGGCATTCCACTGCGCTGCAGTCCCACAACGCCATCTCCATCGCACATCGCTATTTACTCTAGCGAGTTGGCTCTGTTGTCTCTGTGCTGTTCGAGCTGAAAGAAAAATCTATTAAATTTATTTTATGTGGGCGGCATATCGAAACAAATGCATTTTGAGCACAAATAGCCAGCGGGCAACATAAAACATACCAAAAGATGATCAAAGGTAAACACACTGATAAATAGACAATAAGTTGGAAAACATGAAGGTGCTGGGATGGACGCAGGGATACCCTATTGGAAAAAACATTAGCAAGTCTGACCTTAATTTTATATACCCATTTTTGTGCAAAAGGAATGCCATATTTACCTTCATGGTTGTCATTTTTTCTTGTGTGCTAAAGAATCTCATTGAAACCGAGTAGGGTGCCTTTAATGGGCCATTTTTAGGGCGCTAGTGGTTTCTAGCCCAAGGGCATGCCTGGATATTCGTTCAAATGGCTAAATGCTTTTTTTTCGGCCATTAAAATGGCCAACAACCAGACTGCTGTTTATTTATGATAAGATCTGCTTCTCGTAGATACACACACGTATTAAGCAATGGTATATGGGATTATATAATTTCGATTTAGCACACGCAGCCCGCCATCCAACCAGGCACATAATTATAATTCGCTGTCCGACGGCCACTAAATTGCAGAATACTCAACGAGCAAACGACGCGACGAAACAAATTGCTGCAAATAAATTGTATTATTATCGCAATTGAATTGAATTTGAGATAAACGTAAAAATAATTCGCATGTTGCACATGACCGCAGGAGTGGTCGGTGAATCTATAGAGATTTGACCAGCCGGCGAATCTCAGGCAGTAGGTCGGGATCGGCATCGGCAAAACAAGGGGTTCTGAGGTCCGCAGCATGTTCCTGTGTGTAGTAATCCGTGGCAAAGCGATTATAGCTTTTGTTTGAATTTTGAATACGCCCACGGGCAGGGGGGAGAAAACGATCTGCAGTATTTACATTGATGCACTTTAGCCGTGCTTAATTGGATGCCAACTGCAAACGGGCTGGCTGGCCCACAGTTGGCCGATTAGTGCCCAATGAAGTCTGCACTCTGGAGTTACTTTATTTCCAATTCAAATGCAAATGTTTCTGGTCGATAACAATGGTTTTAGGTTTCTGCCCGGTGTGTGCGCTAATTTCACAGCCAATGCGGTAAATTGCAAGTTTAGACCACTGGCTGATTATTATTTATTTTGGTTTTTGGCTCAGCCATTGGTCCTACAATTTGTCATTACTGCCGGGCAATAAAATCCGTTTCAGATATATTGTAGCAACGGGCAGACTAATTTATTGTAGTTTTTGGTGTTTTCTGGTGCAAATGTTTGGATTTTTTTCAGATATGTGGCCGGGTTTAAAGGCTAATTACATTTTATGTAAGCCTCGGTTTCTGGGCAAATATTTGGGCGCTCATTAGCCTATTCCGCCCATTCCTTTCGGCCTTCTCGGTTCTCCGCTCACTTGGCTTCACACTTGCCCGCATTCATGTAAAAATTGAGCTGCCATTGAGCGCTCAGCCTCACTTGAGTTCAATTAAAACCGCACTTGTAGTTGTTTGCATAACAAACACACTCGACCAACTCGGCCAACTGGCCAAGCCACCCTCTCGCCACGACCACGCCGCCTTGCCACTTGCCAATAGCCCACTCCATCTATTCCGCCCACCTGCCTCCTTGGCCAGCCGAGGTAACTATATAATGCAAAATGAACTCGACGCCAGTCAAAGGCTCGGCGCAGTCATTGTTGGGCATTGTTTAACAATTAACCGCAAATTGAATGCAATTAAATAAATAACGGTGTTGAACCTTTGTGCAAACGGTTGTAGGTACGTGTTCGCGTCGTCGAAGTTACCCTACTCCACATCCTGCCCTCCAGTACCGCCAATTTCCAATCCTTCTGGCCTCCAGCCTGCCCTTCTGGCGGGCCAGCGGTGAGCGCAATGCAAACACATGCACTCACTCATGCCAACACTGCGTATGTGCGTTGTACAAATGAAATGAAATATTACGTATACGTCACGTCGGTCCATTGGCCAGCAAGCAAACACCACAAGCACAATGGCTGCCCGGCTGCCCGTCTGCCCGGCCGCCCAGTCGAAGTTGCCTGCTGGGCCACGTATTTGTTAAAGTTATTGTTGAACTCGATCTGCTTCACCATTTACGACTATCCCATGGAAATCCACGGCCGGAGGGCTATTACTGGCCCAACACGGATTACACTAAGTGCATTGCTGGTTCAGCAAAATTATGATCGATCTAGCATGGTTTACTTTCATTATGTTTCGTATATTCATGTTTTCCTTAGTTAGCAGACTAATAAGCTCCTAGGAAGGGTATTAGCTTATTGTTTCTGCTGCGGTGAGAACACGAACAGCAGACCCTCTAGTGCAGCCAATTAATAGCCACAACAAGCCTTACCAAGCCTTTACAAAGCCCTGGTTCTTAAGCCCTCTTAAAGCGCATAAATGAGTAGTTGAAAGATGGCCAAACACTTTCTGCATTGATTGATGAATGGGCTTTGTTTCCAATGGGGGCCACTCAACGCCAAGAGTCAATTGCAATAGTTTGACTTGATTTGGTAAGAGGCAATACCATAAAAGGAGTTGACTGGCCCATTTGACACTTTTTATTGAGCTGTTTTGTTGTGCCATCGATGAAAAAATTTCAATTTGCTCTTTGGCTTGGGGGGCGGATGGTCTACCATTCATCCTACCTGGTAGACGGGTAGTCGAGTTGCCAGGTTGCCAGTTACATGTGCACGCAATCTAAAACTTGTATGACAACGACACCGTAGCCCCCACGCTGATTGTCTATTTGTCTATTTGCCAGAACCACATTCGAAAAAAACTGACTGTATCCGAGAGAGCAAACAGCAAACACAAAACTCGAAACTCGAAACGCGAAACGCAAATGTTAAATGTCAGTAAGACATGCAAAGTTATTGTCACACATTGCGGCGTGTTCAATAGAAAAAGGAAAACACTGCCGCGAAGGATTCTATTATTTGGCCACCCTCTGCATTGATTGCACTCATTGCAGGCTCTCATTGCAGACTGTCATTTGGCCTGGAGTCCTTTTAGCCAGGTGCTCCACTTCACTCCCGCACTGCCGCACCTCGTGTGTTATGACAATTTATTGCCTGGTGTTTGACGAAATTGAATAGCCGGGCGTTGGATATTGTTGTCCGGGTGGGGCGATGGAGATGGAAATTGAAAATTGAAAATTGTTTGCAGTAAATGGTAACTAAAAAACAAAAAAAACACAAGGGCTAAGCCAACCACGTTAACAAAAAAGTAATACGATTGCCATTAGGACACATCGCACCTCCTGCCTGCGCAATGGACTGCTCGCTTTTTTAATCATTTCTGAATTGAAGCCAGAGACGGGACAAAATTTAAATCAGAAAACTCGGCTCCCCCATACAGGGAATTCTTTGAACTGTCAACATGACCATTGCACGTCTTTTGTTCTCTTCCCGGCTCTTTTTTTATTCATGCGAAACTTTCACATTTTGGCAAACAAGAAGTCAAATTGAAAAGTTTTTATTTTGTCAACAGCAAAACAGAGAAAAAGTGAAATTAGAAGCCGCGACCAGGAAAGTGAAACAAAGTTGGCAACCCAGCCCAATTGCCGAGTTGTGTTTCCAACTCGATTCCACAACAAATAGCGGCCCCCAATCCATGTTAAAGCTTTGGATGGAAGAATTTAAATTGTATTGTTTCTTAAAGAAATTTCTGGAAAAAAATAACAATTAAAAAAAGGAAAAAGTACATAAAAGCTTGTATATCAGACACAAGAAAAGTCTCTAAAGAGCCATAAATCAATCAATAAACTATCAGATAATTAAGAAATATGCAGCCAGCTCACTCAGAGTGGTTTCGCTTCGATTTGCAATTAGTTTCGTGTTTTCATAATGCTGATCTGAATTATCTCTGGACTTTCTGGAGGAGGCAGGCTGCTGCAGAAAAATGATAGCCAAGACAGACGCAGATAAACTGCAGCAGCATGGGAGGTAATTATTATTCTTAATTATCCACGGATGGGTTGTCGGGGCCAAGGAAGTTCCATGAAAAGGAACGGAATCAGCCGGCCAAGAATCCTTGTCAGCTCGTCTTGGCCATAAGTCTGTTGCCGGGCAATTATGCAAACGTTGGACAACAACACTAAAAAGAACAACAATCCAGTCCAGATAAGGAGACCTCCCAGCCACGCCACTCCGATCCGCTCGGCTTTCCAGTTTCTTTTTGGCTCGCTCGCGCTCGTTAATTGTAATTGAAGTTTGTAATTAAAAAGTTTATACGAAGCGTAGAGTCATTAAAACGAAATGATGCCCGGCTAATACATACAACTATAGCTTTGCTGGGCCCAGCTAGAAGCTAAACCATGGCCTTCACTAGAAAGTTAGGGGAGGGTTCAGGTATCATTCGCACTCGGCAATGGCTTGGCATTAATTTTGATTTAAATGGCGTGTAAACGCTTTTAAACTTCCGAGATTTGTGTGGCTGTCCTTCCGGCACTTTATTTAGCCGCAATTGAGTTATTGGCCTCATTAGCGCCTAGCTTTTTGCTCAGCTCAGAGAGATGCAGCCCAAAAGCGGATTCGCTTCGACTAATTACCGCCTGACGAATGGGTCGGGCAGGATTTGGGCAGGACGGCTGCTGCTCCGGTTGTTTACCTCCACCTTGTCAGGCAATCAAAGTGGGTAAACATGTGCCGCACACTCCCCCGGCTGGTAGGCACAGACCCACAAAAACGACGAGCAAACGACCTCAACCTAATCATGAATAATGTGCCACATATTCACACAATAAAATCAAGAAAAAGGCTACACAAATATCATAACAAGCCTTCAGCCAGCAGCGGCCTCTGCCTCCTTTTAGCCCACCCATCAGAGTTCCCATAGCCCACCTATCAAGCGATCCTATCAGCCAAAATGTGACAGGGGCTACGCGCGTGGCAAAAAGGTGGGGTATTGGCTACACTCGAAAAAAGCCAGAGTTCTGTTTTATTACCAAGCTGACATGATAAACCTGGAAAGAAAATGTATCTCTCAGTGTAAGTGAAACGGGTAACATATTAAATATGCGTGTCATGTCCATTTATTTGGCTTTGTTGTCACCTTCGGCCATGGTGACTTTTCAATCTCGGCGAGCGCTTCACGCTGGGGACTCTGCACAAACAACGAAAACAACAGAGACAGCTGCGTTAGCGGGAGGAGCAATCTGGATAATGTTGAAAACATATTTTGGAGAGGCCCAGGCCCCCATTCGAATCCCCGAATGTAGTGGCCCGGCTTGATTGAATGGGCCTAGACCATTGCCAGACATCTAAAGTGCACACACACGACTGGCTAGGCAGCATCCAATTCCCCGAGAACTTTGCCGCAGCCCACAACCCCGTAAACCCTATAAGGGAATATTTTTTTTCTTAACCCAAGTCGGCCGCTTAATCAGCATTTGTCAAATGAAAAACCTTTCAGCAGTTCAGTCAGATGGCTCGGCTTTCAAGGATTCCCCTCCAAAATGACACTGACATTGCAGAGACAGGCAAATGGCGTCGACTCCTTTCTACCTTTCTTCTCTGTGGGGGTGTGTGTGTGTTTGTGTATGTTTTAGTATGCATGTGTGTGTGTGTGTGATTGTGCTTCTTAACAATGACACCAGAAATGCCTGGCATTATGCGGGCTGGTGGCTGCATTGAGTCTAAAATCAACTGTTTCAGTTGACAAATTTGAGCAAAAAGTAAAAATGTTCCAGCTCGCAGACAAAGTCATACCACAAACGACTTTATGTTTGTGTGCGTGGTGGGCTGGGCAGGGGCGGATGGCAGGTGAATCGGAAATGTGAATAGCTGGGGCAGCCACCTGGGTGAGCAAACGCAAACGCACAAAGGCAAAAGCTCTAGCAGGTCGAGTGCTTCTCCCCCATTGCGAATCTGGCAAATTTCCATAAATCATATTAACCCACATTTGACATTACTTTGCCCCTCCCTTTAGCCAAGGCTTCCCTGTTTCTAGCATTGTTTGGCTAAAAGTTTTCGTTTTGCATAGTTATTCCTTCCTCCTGCAGGTTGCACTCGCCCAGAAGCTCGTCCCCTCAAAGACGGCAGCTCCCAAAAGGTTTTCAGGGCCACCTTTTCCTAATGAATAACAAAGCTTTCAATTGTAAGAGGCCTAAATAATTCAGGCTGAGTGAATATTGATGTACGTGCTGTTGGTGGGTGGGGGACAGAAATGGTACAAGGATGAAATATCTTTCAATTTGCAGAACATTCGAATCGCATGCATTTTTTATCCTAATTACCCCAAAAACAGAATGCGTATTCACATGCTTATTTGGGGAGTTGGCCACCCGTACCTGGGTAATAAATCATTTTTATTGTTTGCACTTAAAATACCATTGTGTTGCAATAAAGTCGCAATAGTAAAACACGAACGTTGGTATATTAGGTGGCAGAAGAGGAGCAGAAAATATGGCCAAAATGAGCCCCACATGCCGGACACGGCTAGGCCGTCTTCTTACATTTTATTTTTGTGGCCCAAAAGTGCTTAGCCCGGCGTGGAGAGCCTAATTGACTACTCGGGATATCTTCTTTCGGCACTCGTCATTAGTTTTAATTTTCATTTGAGGATGCTTCGCTTGCCACCATGCCACATGCTCCTCGGATCCTTGGAAAATGGAGGAGGCATCGCTTCCTGTGTAATTATGCAATCACTTTTTGGCGTGGTACGAGGGCTTGCATGTCTTCTGCTTTCGGCTCCGAGACTTTTCAATTCCCCCGCCAGCTCACGGGCATTACAAATTGCTGCCTTAGGCCTGGCTAATGCTTTGCTATTTGTACAAAATGCTAATTTGATTAATTTCCATTTCATTTTTATGAGCCCGCGCTTGTTTTGCGTCGCATTAAATCCATTTTTCAGCCGATTCGCGTGCCGGCACTCATGGCTGCCCCGTGCGAGTGGGTGACGAATGTCGACTGATGAGTGACGAGTAACGAATTCCAAATCGCCGTACCGAGCACTGCCAGACCTGCTCCCAATCTGCTGCCAGGACGAGGCCAGCTCCCAATTAGGATAATCGGCGGCGGGAAATGTTAATTTAAATGTGAATGATTGTCGTGTTGGCTTTTCTATTTTAGTGACTCCTTCTCGGAGGTTCTGTTTATTCTTTTATTTTTCTGTTAGTGGTTGGGCTTTCGTGATGGCCTGGACTTCGTGTTGGCGTGTAGGTTTGGCGACAGGTTTACATGTGTTTTATTTTTTTTTGTGTTTCAGGGGTTTGCGGAACTCCTGCGATTGTGTAAGCGGTTGACTAAGCTTAATGCCGAATGGGATTTTCTCGTGACGGCCATCCATGTATGCTCTGATTAGCCAGGTTTATCCTAGACATCCCAGGATTCAATTCGACTTCGGCATATTGTAAAATTTCCTTCGCTGACTTTCGTTGAGGTTGCAATAAGCCTGGGCAGCTTTTCGAAGGGAATCCTTTCTTTCATGATTATTAGTTAAACAGGTCGCCTCTCGAATTTGTTTAATGAAGTTTACTAGGGCTGTTTTGTTGGCCCGTTTTTTTTCCTTCTTCCGAGCCTCCAGCTGGCGAGCCCGGGCTTTGGAAGAATTACCCCCCTTAGCCGTCGCCGCTTTAGCTTGCCCTCTTGGTCTTCCCCGTGCCTCTGGCCTGGTTCTTGGCAATACCCTTGGCTTTAACTTTCCGACTTTTTTTCGGGGGAGTCGAGGCGCCTTCTTTTTCTGAATCTTCCTCGCTGCAGGACTTGACTTCTTCCTCCCTGATTTTAGTTTTGGTGTTCGTTTTAATTTTGGAACTTTAACCTTTTGATAAATATTCCAGTCCTACAAACATGATGAAAAATTGTAAGAATTCTGAAAAATCGAATGCTTACATACCAGGTTCTCGTATAGTTTCTTCTCTTTAGGAGTAAGGGTGCCCCATAGACGGATCGCCACATTAGCAGCATCATTGGGATCCATTTCCCGATGCTGGCGGTTATAAAGACGCTCAAAATTCTTGAACGCCTTCTCAGGATCCGTGGGACCTTCCAGTTCTCCAAGAACGTTGCCCATGACAAAAAATTTGAGCTTCAATTTCGACAATATCGCAGAATATTTTTGTATACTTTTTAATAATTTTTCTGTGTGCTCTTTTTCAAAATGATCTCTCAAATTTGGAGACTCAAAAGTACAACGTGTTTGTTATTCCAAATTGTAAGAGAAGAGTTGATGTATAAATGAAAAGTCCGGGCCTCCCCATCCAGGTTTTCTTTCTCTAATGTGTACCTACTGCGTTTTATATAATTAAAAAGCTTCCTGCTACAAACATGGTCAATTGTAAGCAGACGGGCAATCTTATCGCTTGGCTAACGAACTAACGCCATTAGCCAACGCGGCGGCCGAAGCGACAACCGTTGGATAGGTAATAAAAATACAAGAAAAGGCCAACAACCGACCATTAGGATTACGGGTGGGGAATGGGCAACTAACCTGGGGAGGTGAAGCCTAATGAAATTCCACCGAAACATGTTCTCGCCTGATAAGCAACCATTGGTCAATCGGCGGTGGCACAGCGAGTGCGGCATGCAACCACCTCGAAATGTGCACCACACAGGCGATCCCGCGGAAGCGAGCGTGACGTGGTACGCAAAACGCGAACGTGAACTCCTCCGGTTCCTTCCCGGGTCACACGAAATATGAAAAACTGCAGAGGCGAAAAGTCAATGTCATTTGCAATGCAGCGTACTAAATTATTTTACATGGCCATCCAAAGGCTAAAAGCAAAAGGGTCGAACGGCAGGCTTTAAGCAAGGCCCGAGGCGGGGGAATTTGGCCAGAAGGAGACCCACTTTTTGGGCCAGGCTTTAGGCAGCTTAAGCTTCAGCAGATTGCCAGGTGACTGGATGCACTTATAAAATATATATATTTTTATACCCTTGCAGAGGGTATTATAATTTTGGTCAAAAGTGTGCAACGCAGTGAAGGAGACATCTCCGACCCTATAAAGTATATATATTCTTGATCAGGATCACCTCCTGAGTTGATATGAGCATGTCCGTCTGTCCGTCTGTCCGTCTGTCCGTCTGTCCGTCTGTCCGTCTGTCTGTCCGTCTGTCTGTCTGTTTCTACGCGAACTAGTCTCTCAGTTTTAAAGCTATCGTCTTGAGACTTTGCACACACCCTTCTTTCCTTTGCACGCAGTATATAAGTCGGAACGGCCCGGATCGGCCGACTATATCCTATAGCTGCCATATAACTGATTGATCGGAAATGGTATAACTTTGGTGTTTTTAGAGTTAGAAAGTTGACAAATTTGACATGTGAGCTATTTTTGGCAAAACATTACGTCATGCCAAATTTCATAAGGATCGGCCGACTATATCCTATAGCTGCCATATAACTGAACGATCGGAATTGACCCAACTTTCGTGTTTTTGAAGATAGAAAGCTAAAACTGAATACAGATTATATTTTTGGCCAGTTGATCCAACCTACCAAATTTCATTAGGATCGGCCGACTATATCCCATAGCTGCCATATAACTGAACGATCGGAAATGGTATTTGGTAGAAATATCAACTTTCGTATTTTTGAAGATAGAAGTTTGGGACTTTTTTTAGATTTTGTATTGAAATAAATTGGATTATATATTCCTATTCCCATAAGGATCGGCCAACTATATCCGATGTTTGCGATATATATCCGGTTTCAACTGCAAGGGTATAAAAACTTCGGCTCCGCCCGAAGTTAGCTTTCCTTTCTTGTTTTGATTATATTTTAGTTTTTCCAAAAGTTGAAGAACTTATTGATTGAATTCAGATGCCACAGAAATATTTATAGGTTTGGGTGTACTACCAACTAATAATTTTAGTAGTAGTAAAAATAAATATTCGAAGAAACTGCAGTTTGTGCTACCGGTCATTAAAAAAATTTAATAATATAGGTCATCCTTCCAGTGTATATCCAGGTGTTTAAGTATGCTGCCTTTGCTCTGTGTCTCTTCCGAGTTTCTGGCATTTATCTCTATGAAAAGAAATCGCTCAACGCCCGGCCAGGCACCGTACAGAGCAGCTGGCCCGCGAGGATTACGGGAACGAGAGGGGACAGCCTTTGTCTTATCCGGGAGGAGCTGATGCCAGGCTGGCAAACTGGTCGACTGGTAAAGCGGCGCGGACTGGCAGTCACCGCAAAGCAGGGTTTCCGGCACCGGTGCGTAGTTCTGCGCTGAATTTCATGCAACGATTTGGCCGGAGTGGAACCCACAGAGCTAGGTCGGAGCTGCGGGGGAGCGAATGACGCCTCTTCTTTGGCTTTGTGTATGCAAACAAAGTACGAGATAAACTTTTGTTCTGCCTGAACTTTGTCGCGGCTGGAAGTTCGCTGCGGCTGTTGTTTTTGCTGTTTTTCGCATTATAATTTCAGCTCGCTTTCGCACAATTCCCGTTTCTGTCCGCGCTTTATGAAAATGAGTTAAACATAATACAAATCTCTGGGGCAAGTTTGGAAAATTGTTTTTAAATTTACCCTCGGCCTCAGACTCAGGCTCAGCCTCAGCCAGAGTCCCAGCTTTTGGTTTTTGTCACACGCGGCAGAAGCAGAATTGAAAATGGCAGAAACAATATGTCATTAGAATATAAATTGAAATTGACGGTCCAACTTGTTTGCGTTTCGGTGGGACGTCCTTTTGTGACAGTGAGAGAATGAGACACGGTAGCTGTCATTCGTTTAGCATGTTGCAGGTTGATTAAAAAACTATACGAGAGTGCTCACGTGCCGCACGCAGGCCGAGGCGCAAATTTTACGGATTCGGATACCAGGACTTCTTCAGGCCGAGAGGGGTGGTGTTGGTGTTGGCCATAGACATACTTTTCCAATTTTCCATCACCGTGGCCTGGAGGTGGAGGAGTTGTGCGAAATGAGCCACTCAAAGCAATCAGGCAAACACATCTCTCGCCCCACCCAATCACTCAGCTGGATCCGGGTCGGGAAACCCATCCCGGAATCCTCACCAGCCATCAGCGCCATGAATTATGCAAATCTCTTGCGGCCAACTCAACGCAAAACTCAAGGAAAACCAAAACCAAAAACAGGCAGTAGGCACCAGTCAGCAGGCAGCAGGCGAGATGGGAAAAAAATCAAACAAAATCGATTGATGTACAAATTTTTCTTAGCATCCGCAAACAATTTTCTCTTTCTTTCGAAGGAGCCGCCCGTTGCCTTTTGATTTGTGCGCCAAATGACAGGAGCAGGAGTGGCCGGGGCACCGGCTCCTCGGCTGTCTTGTCCTGACGGCCTACTCCTAAATTATGTAGATTTGTTTTAGCATAATGCTTGGGCGGCGAGGGTGTTGGCCTGCCAGGATTCAGGACCAGGATACAGGGGATCCTACAGCGATTTTTTCCCGCCTGCAACGTTTTAAACCGCCATTAAGTTTCCTCCATAAATATCAGGCCACCCCTCGGCCCCGCTCCGCTATTGAAGAATTATGTAAATTTATTTGGTCACAGTGCCTCTTCCTTCTTGCTGTTTGTCTTCCCAACTCCCGACTCAGTCCATCACATTGAATTATTGCGAGCTTCCCGGTTGCCCTGGAAACATATCCGGAGTAGTCCAAGACCAAATGACCTCTTCGACATGGCATTTCCCGTTCAGTTGCCATAGTTATGTATACATACATATATATTTTTTGTTAAATGCAGTGCGGTCGCCTTTGTTCAGTGATATCCATATGAAATTCTTAAGTTTGCTCCTTTGCCTCAACTAATTTAATTTGTTAGCATTCCCGTCACAATTTGGTTTCATTTGTCCCACAGTCTTTTTGTTTTAGCTCTTTTGATTGGCCAACTTTTTCATTGGCAAAACTTACATTTTAGCAATAACCGTTGGAGAAATCAAATCATCTGAAAATTAATTTAATTCTCACTTGAATGGCAAAGTTTTGCTGCAATGTAGCTTTATGATTTGCTCGCATTTTTTTCCCTCCATCGCGAGAGCGAATGGAAGCAAAAAAAATCCGAGAAATAAAATACCGAACTGCAGAATTTTAATTATAAAAGTTTGAATCTTGCTCGCCTTGACGCCTTCCTTTTGCCTGACTGACTCGTCCTGTCTGCGAATTGTTGGTGGCAGGAGAAGTCGTTCAAGTTTCAACTGTTACGGGTATTAGTGCAACATTCGCCACCCATCGCAGGTGGGGTGGCAATGCTTCTGCACTTTGCCAATTTCACCAATATTAATTATGATTTCATTTTCGTTAGTTAACAGTTTTATTCCGGCAGTTCTTTATTGCTAGTGCTGGTGCCTTGGTGATTCGCTTCCATCTTGTGAAATGAATACCAATCGCCATGGAGGAGTGGGATTTGAAAAAAGAGACCCATAGAAAAAGGGGCAGAATGGAGCGGAGAGGTACTAAGTGAAAGAGTTTCCTTGTGGCACAACTTAATTAATTTTACATTGCTGCGAGTGCACTGCTCTCGCTGGCTGTCAGAAAAGTGTTCAGATGATAAACGAGCTAATTAATATGCGCCAAAGTTGTCCCTGGGCCAACTGGCCAAAGCCAATGCAAATAGCTGGAAAGAGTCGCTTGTGGCTCTCCAATTATGCGATATGATTTGCAAAAATTCCATAGCATATTTTTGCGGGCTCCTCGAGTGCCTAGCCACCTCCAGGTCCCTGGGGGCAAGCCGTTTCAGTTCAACGACACAGTTTTCATTAAAATTCATGTGAAATATATTGAGACTTGCATGCATAATGGTCACTAAGTTTGCAGTTTGCAGTCCCCTCCGTCAGCTTTGGGGGGGTGTCAAGTGGGCTCCGCCCCCAGCCACACAACGCACTGGGCCTCCTTGCAACATGCAAATACCGACGTGGGCAGCAGCAACAACTGTTGCAAGTTGCAACGACATCGACATCGACAACGGCATCCGGGTATCCGCTTCGTTCTATTCCTTTCTAAATGAAACTTGCTTGCTTGCACAGAAAAAGAATATTTTAGATGCAATTAAAGTATTATTTTTTGAATTTTTAAAATTTTTATTACATTATTATGGGTATCTTACTTTTTAGGCATAATAGAGATTTTATACTTAAAGAGAGCTTGTATTGTACGTTATTGTTTTCAGTGCAAAAATTTCACTGGCATCCAAGCCGCCTTTTTGCCCTGGGCTTGTATAAAAACGCAGCTCAAGTAGTTTTCGGCGTCCTATGAAATTTCATGCATAAACTTTTCGAAATGCAAAAAACTTTTAATAATTTAAGCCTGGCACGTATGTATGTACTAGCATACATATATCCTCTGGTCAGCGTTCGAGTTTCCAGAAGAGCTTAAAAGAGCTTGAGGCATTTGAGTGGATTGCTTGGAAAAAACGGAGAAAAGCAAAAAGGATCAGGTCTACCTACAGTTAGGAGGAAAAATTCCATCGATGATTATGCATTGCGACACAATTTCTGAAAAGTTTGCGTACACCACTAGCCCACAAGCCCTCGAGGGAGAAAATGAAACAAACGGGCAGTGCTTAGTTTACATCTAATGCTTTATTTTATTTTTGAATAATTTAGGGTTTCTTATGCGCATTAATCATACAATTAGCATCGTACTAGGTAGTTAGTAATTAATGAATTCTCTTTTAATGAACACGTACTGCGCACGCGCCTCGCTATTTCTGGTTTATCTGAACTATACTTGTAAGTAGGTTCCCCGCGGACTCGGTTGCAGAGTTTCATGTGCCATCGATCACCTTTTACTGGTCATCAGGCTTCCACTTGTGGCACTCCACTCCATGTCCTGGGCTCTAACTGTATAATCTGAGTAATGCATACGATTCCTCCTGCACTCGACTGGCTATGTAAGGTACACACACATACACATTTATGTAGATAAATTGTAACTCTTTGTATTTGCTTGGTTTTTAATTTTTTTTCTTTTAAGGTTTTTGTTTTTGGTATCTGTTTTTTTTTTGGCTTTGTTCGACTAAATACAGGAGTTGTATACGAGTTCGAGAGCATGCTAAAATATACAAGTGAGCTTTGACCTCTATTGTGTGCCCTAAATGAAACGGTACGGCCCCAAACCGAACCGTACAATCGGAAAAGGTGCAAAAGCTGATAAAATGCCTGCTGGGTTCGTAACACTCAATAAGTAGCGTATTCATGTATTTACAGGTGACACTGGCGACCCTCTGGCTTTTGACCCAAAAGTCGAGTGGCTTGCGCCGCGCGCCGTTAATATGTATGCAAAAATTCACATTCAAATATTTCCACTAATATTCCACGAATGGAAGGACTAGCTTAGTTTTGTTTGCAGTTTTGCTTGCATTTCTTAGTTTTGGTTTTTGGTTTTTATCTTTTTGGTGGTACAACATGTTTGCTTAAAATCTAATTTACATTGAAAAACATTACATTGAAGTTGCGGTATGCTGTGTTATCTTTTGGTTATTGGTGCGCTTACAAACTAAAATAAGAGTGCAGCTGCAATCAAAGGAATGGCAATCCAGGACGAATCAAAAACAAACCGAAACACAAACGTAGAAAATACTTTACACTCCATAATGTTATGCGGTGTTGTTTTCTGCATTTTATTTCGTTTCAATATTTTGTTATTTATGGTTTCGTTTGAAACTAAATAATATCACTATATAATGTTTGCTTAATTTACATACACATCCTGCATAGGGCGTTGCAGCCCGACATTTTATGAAGTAAAATGTGGTTCACATTCAGATATCTAATGCTTATTTACATGACCTAGTTCGAGTGGCTTAAACTACCGTGGGGATGTTTGGAGAAGGGCTGGGCTGAGCTGGGGACTGAATCGGGGGCTAGGTTCTGGGGACTGGCATTGCATTCTCAAATTGCAATTTCCATTAACCATTTTCCGGCTTGATGTGAGTGTGTGTGCTAATTTAATCGTGGACAAAACGCTTGAAAAATTATTTACACGGGTTGCATTTATTTCACTGCAGTTTCTTTCTCATCTCCAATGGGGTGTTGCTTAATTTTCCTCTAGTTTTCGGGCTTGACGCATTCAGTTGCTCTTTGGTAATCGTACTGCAGTCAGACCGATTCGAAAATATCGCCGAACTAGCCTGGGTTACTGGGTTGGCCCTTGAGCTGCAATGTCCCACGCCAAGTGTCTGGTGGTGGGTGGGGTCAAAGTTGACTGCTTACCCCCGGCCCTGCCGACGTCTGTCGAACTGACAATTACTCAAGGCCAGGGCCAGGAGCAGACCCGTGTGGAGGAGCAGGCTCTGGAGTTGTAGTCCTGACCGGTTGCCGGCGGCCCCGCTGTTGCTGCGCGACTTGGAACTGGCCAGCACCTCGGCATCTTCGGGGGGGTTCTCCTGGCCGTTGGTGGCTACGATAAATTGAAATATATCGCTGACCTGCAGGGGTGAAGGGTGACAGAAACGAATGGAGAAGAGAAATAGAAAGACCAGCTGGGTTTAGTATGGAAAAGTGGCACAAAATCAAGATTAAGTAGCCGCCCTGTCAGCCAGATTTATGCCCGCTCTTTTGGGCCATTTCGCACTCACCTCATTCCAGCCATACCGATTCTTGGCCTGCACAATTGCCTCGTAGTAAGCGCCCGGATGCAGATTCCTGATGGTGTAGGACATGATGTGTGTGAGGGGTTCTGAGGCAGGACGATGCTCTGGGGTGAGAATGAAGTCGTGCCACCTGCCCGGCTGCTGGTAGGTATCGTTCATCTGCGGGAAGAAGGCAAGAGAAAGCAAAGAAGAACCAAATTAAGTGCCTGACTCCACCATTGACAGTTTTCCTTTGATTCCTTAATTAATTTTACGTCCTGCCCAAGAGAGGAAACCAAATGATTTCCGCCGGCGCCCGATCAAGTTATGACAGCTATCACATCAATTAAGCCTCCTGCACTTCCCCACTTCTGGCCTCCTTCTTTACGCCACTCTTTATGCTGCTCCGATGTCAAGTCCTCCCAATAATTGCACTTCAATGGACGCTCTACCGTAAAAAATTATCTGCATACGGACCAATCAGCCGGAGCTTGGCCACTGGCACTGAAACACTGATATTGAATTACTGAATGCAGTTTGTCATTCAGGCATTCATTCGTCGTAAAGTGTGCGTGGGTCGAAATCTCATTAAATTTCGCGCCTAGAGTCGCAATTAAGCGACATTTTCGTGTGACTACCTTCCTGGTAGTAAAAATCACTTTTCTCGATGACTACTCCATCAGTCAAGGGGACTGGCTTGCCCTCTCCCACGTTCGACTTTGCTTATATCCTATATAATTGTGTCTCTCTTTTGTGAGGTTCGCTGAGGAGAAGTTCTTGTGGGCTCGAGACATTGACGTGAATGTAATTTTAATCACGTGCTTCATTAGTGTACCCGGCGCTCCTTAAATTGATACCCCATTTCGGAGCGAGACGAGACAGCCCAGGTATTGGGTTGCCTTTTCTCGCATCTATATGCCGTTGAGCTCCGGCAGGAGTATTCCTTTCCCATCCTTTGTGTAGATGTCTGGCTGGCGGGATCAGCCTTTGTGCATATTTCACAATTAATTGATTGAATGTACTCCTTTCATATCGGATTGCTTTCGGTGGCTTCTCAGCCCTCCCATCATTCCCCACTTCAGTTCCTCCATGACTCTTACCAGAACTCGACGGTAAAGTAGGCGCACCTCCTCCAGCGGCGGGTAGCTATCGATTTTCCAGGTCAGATTGTAGCTGTCCGGCGAACGACCCCACTTGGGTGAGTAAAATTCTGCGGGTCCGGGTCTTCCCGACAGCTCCATGTACTTTCGCGACCGTCCCAAAGAGTTGTCCGCCACGCAGCTGAAAGTAGAAACAAATACAAAAACGATTTCTAATTAACTCGCCACGCATATGAGCCGCTTAACCCACTTGTCCTTAATGTTAATCGACTTAATTGGCTTTGGTTTTTCCTGATTTATTTTGTTTTCCATGCTGGCTAATGTTGGAGAGTGTCACGTTTAGTGAACAAGCTTTGAAAGGTAGTTTCCTTTCAGTTTTGAGTGCACGAATGAACCGTTTATTTTGATTGTATTTTTAGTTGGCATTTAGGTGCTGAATTGAAGCTAACGGCTTGGTATAAAAAAAATATAAAACTGATGACAAATTTTAGTCGTATTTTTTTCTGGCTTTTAGTTAACTCCCTGGCGGGTTGGCAGCAATGAGCCCGCATCGATCTGGCAGCCGGCAAGTGGCTGGCAGCTGACTGCTACGAAGCCAACTGAACTCGACTCAACTAATCCAAACACGTCGACACGTCGTGTGCACAAAAGCCACTCACTGTGGGTGGTGGTGCTGTTAGCAGTGGGTATCCAGGTGGCAGGGCTCGTCCATTGGGCCTTCACCACCCTCGTACCTTATACCTCATGGCCGCATGCCCTCATACCCCAACGCTGAAACTTTGTGCATGAAATGTTGTGTCAACATGGCGAAACTTCCGCTTCTTTAATATGTTTCAGACAGATTGACATTGATGTAGAAAACTTGTTTGTCCGCAAAATGGGTGAGGCACGCCCCGAACAGACAATTCCCCAAAGCTGGACGTGGGTGGCTGGATGGCTTCGAACTCGGTCGGTGTCCCCTACTATATGGCAAAGCCTCTGTGGCAAGTGGGGAACTTTGAACTACTAACTGGCTGGCAAAATGTAAGTTGTAGCAAAAGTTGCCAAATTGACTAAATCAACGCTGGCATCCTGCTATCCTGCCGCTTTTCAAAGTTGCAGATGTACATCTATTCTATACATATATATATATTCTTGATCCGGCTCGATCTGTGCACTCACCTGTAGTTGCCAAAGTCCTCCTGCTGAATGTGACGGATGTTGAGTGTGTGGCGGTTGCCCCGGGAGTTCATGATGCGTCTGTCGGTGGATTGGATCGGAAATGAGTTCTGGTACCAGGACACCTGCAGGACGAGGAAGATGAGGAACATGTGAATTGAGTGCAACAGCAATTGCAACTAATAAATTCAACCGAAATTTGACCCACTTGCAGTCAGGCAGTTGGTGAGTTAGACAGTCAGTCAGTAAGGTTATCCTGTCACAATGCGAAACGAAACGAAACAAAATGAAAGTTGGGCAAATAAAAATGGCATTAATTTGCCACAGCAAGAAATCGGAAAAAGAAATTGCAAGCACAAAACATGAGGAAACAAGACAGGCGCAACACAACACAATACAACAGAACAGAACGACTCAACCAGGATAAAACAGAAAAGGACCTCGAGAACGGAATAAACTGGATCTGAAAAAATACAAAACAAAAATAGAAACACAGGAAAAAGTGACCTGAAAACAAAGTTCTTGCATAAACCAGCGATGGAACTTGGCCGGAGAGAACTCCGGACCAGGTCCCCTGTCCCAGCCCTCTGGTAATCGTAATAATCTAAAAATCCACGAAAAATAACAAAAACCATCCGATGGCACAATGGAACGGTGAATTCAAAGAGCCAACAAACCGTTGCGACTGGATCAGCGTAAACAATGCAAACGAGCTTCGCCTCGAATCCTTCGCCCGAGTGTATCCAGGACTTTTCCACTTGTATATCCGGGGGATCTGCAGCACAGAGTCGCGCACACACGCAGATACAGATACAAAGCCATCCGTCAGGTTGCATGATGTCGGGATGGCAGCAGCGAATGGAATGCACCAAGAATACACAGCAAGATACAGGAATATACAAAAAGAAAGGAAGAGAAAGAGTGAGAGTTGGTTGAAGAATTTAGCACATGAAAGCAGCAATCTGATTACAGTCAAAAATCAATTTATATACAGTTTCTAAGACTCTGGCTTTCTTGCCCGCCTTTTCATTTCCGTCGGATTCCCTCCTCAAATTGTTTTCTGCCCCAGCATTTGTCTATACCGACTGTGATTTCGATTGCCAGTGCGATTGGCTCGGTGGTGCCGCATTGTTGCATGCATCTATGTTGCATCAGACAGTGAGTGTCTTGAATCTGGGCAGCGGTTTCTGAATTTCTGGATTCCTGCTGCAGTCAGCAGCTTAGGAGCTTTGATTTACGACCCACCACTCCCTCAAAAAAGAACTTTATTTGCAATTGGTTTCCATGGTTTCGGTTCCACTTTTGCATTTTAAAATGGCTTGCTACGAAGTCGGGTATCCCATATAATTGTTGGCTTTACTTAAAGATATAATTTACATTTTACAAGAAAAACAATATTTTATTATATTTAAACTTGATATAATTAACAGTGAGCTGAAATAAGTAGCTTTTAAGTGGGAAGAAGGAAGGACGTACCTTCAAGAAATTTATTTATGAACTATCTACGGAACTACTTAGTTCCCTTAAATTCAAAATCTATACATTCTAAGATGCATCCTTTAAAATTCATGCTGAAATATACCTTAAACACACATTTTATTTCTTTCAAATAATGTCTCTCCCACTGCATATTAAAGGATGAAATTCAGATAAAATACTTTGAATACTTACACAGCACATCCAGACGCATGTCGACTGTCACAGGATCGCCCACTCCATTGTCGGCAGTACACTGATAGACGCCCGCCTGTTGTCGTTCCAGCTTCTCCAGGGTCAGAATCGGTCCGTCGCCGATGCGGGCCGTGGACTTGTTCGCTCCGCTCTACGGGGAAAAGATGAAAAAGATGATATTGTAACACTTTGCAAACAGAGTTTGGAACAAATTGAATCAAGCGCCGACATCTTGCTCCGGCTAAAAATGAAGTCGGCGAGAGTGCAAGTAGCAAATGTCAAAAGACAAATGCTGTTGGCAAGCGAAAAACTACGGAAACGAAATGAAACGAAACAAAACCCAAAAATAAAGACGTTCCTGTCTCCCGAGTGGCAAAAACTTGCTTGGAATGCCAGAAGTGCTGGGTGGGGCGGGACGCGACGGAGGTCGAGAAGTCAAGTTGCACAAATATTGGATGTGGAGCATGCAAAACTGGATGTAAACACAGACATCGAACCGAATTGTCGGTCTCCGGCTCCCTGTCGCTGGAAAGTCTCAAAGGGCCAAAAAGGGCGTTGCAACCAGTCAGGCAGCGAGCCCTTTGGCTTGCTGGCTGTGAGCGTCTTTTCTTTGGCAAGCGAACCAAACGGATTGTGGATTGTGGGCCAAGTGACGCCCAAGGGGAACACGTGTCAACGTGTGCTCCGAAAGACAGGAGCACCACCCCCCAAAAACACGTCGGAAGCGCCGGGCCAGCAGATTGAAATGGCATGGAAGGTAGTGACACTCAAAGTTGGCAGCAGTATCCTGGCAGAAGCAACTCATCGGGGGAGAGCAAACAAATCGAACGGAAATGTCAAATGCGCCAAAGTGCAGTAATGCAAACGAGACTTTTAGCCAAATGTAGAAGGCGTACGAGTATATGCAGAGTGATTCTCCATATTGAGCTTCCTCGGTGCTAGTATCTGTGTATCTGCTGGATAGTTTCGTGTATCTTCGTAACTGCTAGAGTGACACTGACAGCGACAGTCAGTCGCTGTGGGGTCACAATTCGTTTGCCAACTATGGAGTTCCCCAGCAAGTCTATGAATCGCATTAATTACGCTTCTACTACAGGTACAGGAGTTGTCTCTGGTAACCTGCTGCTGACAGTGATTTAGTGCGGATTCTCCACTTTGGCACCATCCAGATTCAGGACCCGAGCTGCTCTAGTTGGCAAGTTGATAAACTCCTCGAAATTAGCAGCGAAAACTAATTGCCAACTGGAATTCCCATTTGCAAGTCATATAAGTCGGCATAAATTCATTTGTTCCCATCTATCGTCCTTGCCCCGTCTCAACCAACCAACCGACCAACCATCCAACTTGGCCTAGTTGGCTCCCGTTTTGGCCCACTTTGAATAGCTGGCAAATATGTTATCCCTTTGTTGCCTCATGCGTAAAATTATGTGTTTGTTGAATTCATAATTGCCTCCCATTACAGCCACATGCCGCAATCGTAGATTGTTGTGTCGGTGGCGATGCCTTGCGATTTATCATTTCACTTTTTGTTTGCCCAGATTTCCACCGGAATGCTGCGAATGTGCTGAAAACTTTGAGTGATGAGATATTTTGTTGATTTATAATACAAACACACTCTCGTATCTAGGCGGGCGGCACTTTTATTCATATATTTACACGGCTGTGTGTGTGTCTTTGACTTTAATGTAGGCGAATCATTTTTAATTAATAACGAACTTTTAGTCAGCCAGCTCAAAAATAAAAGGACTACTCAGAAAGTTTTCCCCCTGGATACTGGATTCTGGACGGGCACTGAGTTCTCAGAATTTTCCGCTAAAGAGCTTAAAAGCGCGCTGGCCGAGCTGCCTGAGCTGGTGAAAGGGAAAGTGAATTTTCAAGGGGAAAGTGCTTGAAAACTGCCCCTAACGCCGTTTTCATGCAAGCTTACCCCTGGGGAGGAGAAGCTGGAGGACAACGCAATTTAAATTTACATAACGAAGCGAAACAGTTGGGAAAATTAAATTCAATTAAACGAAATGAAATTCACTTAAAATAGCATCGCCAAATGGGAGTCCAACGCATGCACAACACAAAACTGGAATAATCGAGCTAAACGAACCTTCTTGGTCCAGTAAATGGATGGCACCGGATTACCGGATCCCTTGCACTCCAGCGTAATGGGTCCCCCTTTGCGGGCCTGCAGTTGTCCGGATGTGGGGATGGCCCGTACACTGGGCGGAACTAAAAGGAGCGAGAAGAAATCGTGATAATTCAGTAAATCAGTTGCTAATTGATGTATGGGCCACAAGGACTGTCACACACACTCAAGGAGGCACACACTTGTCAAATGTAAATCTGTGCCATTCGTACTCACCCAATATCTCAACAGTGTGGACTTGATCGCGATTTATTTTGTCACTGATTTGACAAACATAATCCCCGGCATCTTGGGGCTCCAAATCGGATATCTCCAAATTATAACCATCTATCAGTCTTACGCGCTCATCCCTTGTAACCATGATGTTGGAGGCAGTGAGCACATTTGTTCCCCGTCGCCACAGAAGGACGAAATTGCCTGCAAGAAAAAGTGGACGGGGGCTTTATAAGCAGATGAAAAATATAGAGCAGAATGTGTCTTCTCGTTGGCTATGAAATTTATTGTAAAATGCCGCAATATAAACATGAAACATTTTGCAACTAGCTGCCTCATACATACATATGTATGTACATACATCTACTTCTAGCTGTCACTGTGGCAGCAGCAGAGAAAGTTGTGAACGCCGACACAAGCAGAAATAGTTTTCGTACTCTGGCACATTCATAGAGATACATAGATACATATCTATCTTACTATCTCAGCCCGACCCAGTCTCCTTCGTTGAGCTGTGAACATTCTGCAGATTCAGTTCTGTTTGTCTATCCAATCGAGAAAAAGCGAGGGAGTGGCGGCCGTAGCAGGTCCTTCCAGCAGGATGTGTGTGTGGCTGTGTGGGCTTCTGTTTTCATCTATTTTTTAGTATGTTTGCTCATATAAATGACATAATTTTGCAGATGTTGTTGGCATAATTCTTTGCTTTTTTATTCTTTGCATATTTTATACAACTTTAGTTTTTGTACGAGGATTCTGGTTTCTGGTTTAGGGATCCTAGATCCTAGATCCTGGCTTGTGGATTGTGGATTCTTGTCCTGCTCTTTTATTGTTGTCGTCGCCGCAAAAAGGCAAACGAGAATTTGTTAAATGAGATTAAGTGGCGTATAATATGTTTATTTATTTTGTGTGCTTAAATCCTGAACGAGACGGCCCGTACCGGCCCGGCCCGGCCTCCGTCACCGACAACGTCGAACGATTTATGAACTTGTATTTATTATGGAAATATTAAAAAAATAAACGTGGAAAAGCGCCACTCGGCAACATTACGTATACGTGCCATAAAACCGAAATCAGAGTTCTGTAAACACGACGTCGTCAAAGTTTACTCAACGTAGGGGTGGGCGGGGTCAGCTTCCACCCGCTTCTTTGTCCTGCGCCTCTCCCACCGACCCCTGTTGGCGGAATATTATTTTCAACATTCGAAATATGAAATTTTAATGAAATGTTTTTATTTTTCCGACCCGACTGACCCTGTACTAACGGGCGCCCACCCATCTATAGGCGCGCTTGCTGGCAGCTGACATTTTTCTGACCTTAAGCTGCCATTAAATAATCACGGCTTAAAGTAATGCATTATTAATGAGGCTTTTAAAATGCATACGCGCCCATAATGAGTGGCTCCACTTGCGCGTGTGCGCTTCTCGGTTTCCTTCCGGTTATCAAGGGCGGTCCAATGCAAAATAAATTCAAATAATGGAGAGCCCACCCATCGATGCTGAAGTGGCACAAAAAGTCTAACAACCACACTCGATGCTCTGGCTTAAAGTCGAGCAATCATCATTTTATTGGCCTCGATTATTATTGAATCGAGGCTGCTCGATTCGGGACAGCAATTGCCCGGCATTTTGTGGGATAAAGTGTACGGGGACGGGTGGAGCAGGTGGTGGAGGGTTTTATTTTGATTTTATATTAGTCTTTGCCGTTCTAAGGGCTGCATTTTATTAGATTGTAATGGCTGTATATTGATATTGTGGGGACCAGCAGGCAACCAGGGTGAGGGGACAATAAAAATTTCCTTTTATAGCTCGTCAATTTCGACATATGAATTTGTATGGGAGCCCCAGAGCTGCTCTCTGATCCCCACAAAGTGCGCATAATTTTTGGGCTCGTACTTTCTTACGAAAACTTTTCCACTGGCTCTGCCTCTGAGTCAGTTACTCCTGCTGCCACCCAAAAGCCAACCTTTTCCAATGGACTTTTAACGAAAGCAATTTGGTAAGTCAATACGTTCTATTGCTACTAAGTTCGCATGCCCTTCGGCCCAATGAAAATCCAATTTATAACAGCGCCCAACATGTATTGACCAGCGTTTTTGTCTGCCATTCAACATTACGCCATTCACCCGGTGACAACATGACGTATACGTATTGGATTCACACATATGTGTCGCATGGATTCTCGATTCTCGGCTCTCCATTCTCCATTCTCTGTAGCCAGCAATCAATGAACGGCTTCATAGACCATTTGATACTTAATTTCTTTTATTGGATTAAAGGCTTGCCTCCCTTTCAGCGTTCTGTATGGTGCATTCTGCATTGGGCTTGAACTCGCAATCAAACGTCAGGGCGACGTTAAAAGCTGAAGCGGATTGATGACAGGGCAGCAGCAAAAAAAAATATAAAATAAAACATTAAAGATACACACACATGAGAGCCAGAGTACCAGAGTACCACAGAGTGGCGAACAACTACGGCAATAAAATGCAACGACGAGATTTCCGGCAGCAAATGTTTATGCTAGCTTCCCTCATATCCAATTACTCTCGTCTGGTAGTGGTGGTGGCAGTGGCATTATCTTGATTATTTGGCAACAAACGTTAAAAGTTATTTGAATTTAATTACCAGCAGATGCATCTACCAGATTGTTGTTGATTTTCAGCAGCTCAAGATGGTTTATAATTTGTCAATGAATTCCAAATGTCCTTCCTTTTGGGTCCTAATGCTTAGACAGAACTTTAAAGCCCGAGGATATACATTTCTCAGCTGTGTAGACAGCTAAGGGCGCAGATTGCAAATCTGTGTTGAACAGACTGAAATGGCCTCACAAAAAGTCGAAACATCAGGCATTAATGGGAAATCATTGCACTTTAATGCCTCGACCTGTAAATCGAATTAAATAAAAATATTTTTCGAAAAAAAACAAATGTCCATGCAAACAAGCTGACACAAACGGAAACGTACACGGCATTTTCTGTTCGTGCACTCTACGAAAGTTTGGGTAAGTCCCCTTTGCCCCTAGAAAGACCGCTTATGCTTTATAAAAAAAAAATAGTTTTTTTTTTGTCCTGTGCATCCTCGATTCGATCGGCTCTACCGAGAGGGGCAGGGAGAACCAACTTTGACTGATGTCAATCTGGGCGCTGCAGCGCTGGAGTGCCTGCTGCGCGGACTGTCGTCGCTGCCATCAATGTGCAATTTATTTTCATTTGCAGAGAACGGTTAATTGCATTTTATTTATTGGCGTGTCAACAGCAGTTGCAATTTAAACTTTTTCCCCGTTGTTCTCTGGCTCATCTGGGTCAGCATTAAAGCGGTCGTATCAATAATGACCAACCTGCTACACTAACCGCCGCGGCGGCCACCCATCAGCTCGGTCAATATTAGTTGTCCTGTTTAGTCCTGGCAAATATGCCGTTCGCTTTTAATTGATTAAAATTCGATTTTCTGGGTTTCTGCTTCTCGTCACTTACTAGAATTATCCTTGGGCCGCAGGATACGTCAGAGCCCTGTCACATTAGTTCTTTGCCAATGGTGCCCAGCCCAGGCTGACAATAGAACGATATACTTGTTTTTCCGGCTCTCAGCGAAGTAATACACTTTGTCGCTAAATAGTGGCTAATAAACTTTGAAACCTAATTTGGGCCGCCGACAGAGACTCGTTGCTAAGTGCATGTGGGGACATGGGCAGATTATAAAAGGCATAGGAAGGTAAAGTTAAAGCCAAACTAAAAACTTATGGTTATCTTTGCTGTCGATGGAATCAGAATTTGAAACTTGGAATTTGGAATTTCATTAATTATAATGTCCAGATAGATACAAATTATTGTGTATTTCATATTGAAAATGAAAATAAATCAAACTTTAATTTATTTCAAGGTTTTTTATTTTGAGCCAGAGCTAATTGAAGCCAAAGGAAGACATTCCTTAATTTTCTGCATATTTCAATATTTCACTTTTCCATCAAACAGCAGCTATGCACTCATTCATGCATCCATGGGCATTCAAATGTCATTTTATTGGCAATCCAGCCAGCTAGGCTGAAGCCAGCTGGGTTCACGCATGACTTCTGTTTCAGTTTTGTTGCCATCTGATTGAAGATGAACATATCCACAGAATATATGAACACATGTATGTATACATACAATATCAAATGCCTGCCGAAAAATTGGTCCAAAACCAAACTCCATTTGGCCGTAACGTGCGGCCATCGTTAATCAGCTAAATTTATTTGCTGCCAATATGTGTGAGGTTGCATATTTTGCCTGCCGATTTATAAATTCGAAGGGAAAAATGTGTCGATGCAAAGCCAAACGACAAGCTGCTGACAGCTGTTGGTTTGCCAAATGTTGTCGCCGTTGTTGGCGTTGTTGCTAGAATTGTTGGCCTCGAATATTAAATTTATGTGAAGTGACATTTTGCCTAAACATATTTGCATATATTTTGCATAATTTGATCCGCCTCTCGTCCGAAATATTATTATTATTATTATTGTTGTTGGCCAGCCGCATTGATTCTCATGATCACATTTTCACATCGAAATACTAATAACGCCGGATTAATTATACCAACCATCACCGGCCATCGAACTTACCCAGATTTTCCACCTGGCAGGGCAGGACGAGGGTGTCCCCGACGACGGCGCGGTAGGTGTGTCCGCGGGACATGAACCGCGGCTGGGGGGCGGTCAGCGATGAGGATGCGGATGATGCAGATTGTGCCACGTTGCTCATGGAGCGGCTGCTGGTACTGGCTGGAAAATGGAAGCGGAAAGAGCGGTTAGTTTCTGACAATATGCAGGTAGCAAGCATAACCACATCGGGTTGCCAATATTCTGATAAAATAAATTAATTTTATTTATGCCAGTTCGGGACTAAACCACATCAGATATAAATATGCAAAACGTCCTATTATATTCAAAGGGTTTCCTGTGTGACAGGAATATTTTTGATAATTTTTATTGCCAGGTTAGGTCAAAGAAAGTGAATTGTTTTCTATATTAGTTTATTAACCACATGCATAAAATTAAATTAGTTGAATGCGCTCAAATTTTATGTGAATATTGTCGTGAGAATGATTTATTTTTAAATTATTTTAAAGCTTTAAAATTATTACACTAATCCTTTCTTTTTTCTTTGCTCCTTTGCTCCTCCGCTTAGAGCTGCCGCTTAGAGGCCCCGAATATCGATGGCAATTTGTTTCCATATGAATGGCTTTCAATTAGCATAAAAATGTTTCTGCGCGTCCTTCGAATTCGCGCCGAAGCCCCACGGCTCCCAGGATGACAATAAACGCGTGGAGAGGCTAGCATGGGGTGAGGGGTCAGGGATTAGGTATGGGGACAGATGACCGGCGAACGGAAGTTACTTGTACGCCGCTCTGTGCTCGGTGCGTGTGACCCGTCAGAGCGTGTTAACGCACTCGCAGTCCTCGGGGGCATCGTTACGCCGCAACGTGAAAACGACTGTGTTGGCCAAGAGCAGCAGTGGCTTGAAGGCAAGTCCTATGGTCGCAGAGGCGAGAAGAAAATGCTGGAAGCCCGTCTGACCCAGGCACGGAGCATTGTCGGCTTTTGGCGACAAATGAGCGCACCGAAGTGTATAGAAAGCTCTCTACCCCAACCCACTGGAAAATGCAGTTCAAGAGCAGGTCCGGCAGGACTCCAACGCAGCGTAACAAATTTGATTACAACAACTGCGAAGCGAAATCTAGCTCTGGCCCTTCTCCATATAACCAAAAGACGCCCCAAGGAGTCGGAGGACGAAAAACGGCAACATCAGCGAACAGGCCAAAAGTTGCTTTGGATCGCCCACGCTGCCGTCTGCCGGTTGCCGGCTGCACTTTTCCTCCTTTTATCTTTTACGATACCCCGGCGCAGGACCTTCTTCTCCTTTAGGTACCGACAGGTGGCTTGTCTTTGCTTTTAGCCACCCTGCTGATACTGTCGTTGCTGCTGCTGGCTGGCTGCAGTTACATTCTTAAGAGACACTTTTACAGGTCCTTAGCGCCCAACAGACATAAAAGGACATTTTCGCAGATCATCATTTTAGGGCGGAGTACAGAGCACGGAGCACTGAGTACGGAGCACTGAGTGTACAAAAAGGAAACGAGCGAAAATTGGTCAGGCTTTAATGCTGGACATGGACATGGCCCGGGCGTATTTGTCGACCTCCGAAAGCCCTCAGATTTTATATTGTCTCGAGACAAAAGCGCACGCTTGTGTGAAATTGCACAAATTTCGCAGCCAAATGAACTTTAAGACGCCGCAGAGAGAGGTACGGTGGACGCTGAGCAATAAAATGCTTGGAGGACAGGCCTGGAGGAGCACTTTAAATCGCTTTTATGCCCCGGGACACTGTTTGCTGTCGAAATACGAGCTGGGCTTTGCGTTAATATCTCGGCAGGCATAAATATGTCTGGTGCTTGCAGTTGGCGCGATATGTAGGACTTTGTCCCTTCTGAGGCGCCTTCCGAAATTAGAGTTTTGCATATGAATTTTATGCAAACGCCTGGCCCGGTCAGTGGGGCCCGGGTCATTCGGGCCAAATGGCCCAAGTGCCACATGTCGAGGCTCCTGCACATATTTTTCAAATGACCAAAAATGCAGTCGGTCTTAAATTGCATGCATGAAATGCATTAAACATGCAAACCACTCCGTAGGGGGAAAAAGGATAAAGCTGGGGGAAGGTGTTTGTTGTGCGGCCACTGTGTGCGTAAGCCTTAGTTGGGAGGGTTAGTTGGAGAGGTGGTGTGGGCACAGTGTGTGGGCGGGCATTGGCACATTAAGCAATTTTAAAGTGGTTTTCAACTATGCACAAAATTGCATTAAAACTGTGAGAAGAGCCAGCTCTGATGGGTAGGCAAACTTTTGTTGTCTCTCGGCAACCCAACCGTAAATGCACTGAGGGCAAAAACCTATAAATGCAAGCCTTCATAAAGCCGGGCATTAAGGGCTTAATAAGTTGCTGATTTTCACTTTCAAAAATGTTAAAACAAGATTAAAGTAACATTTTTTTTTGATTTAAGGAAAGTAATAAAATGATAATGGTTCGTAACTTTTAATTAGTATTATAAGTATATTCCCAATTATTTGGATTCCCATCCTCTTCCTTGCTTCAAGAAGATATCAGCTTTAAGAGTTTGTGAATGTACATATGTATACCGAATTCTTGGGAAAAAAACACAATCGGCTGCACTCGCGTGCGTTGCACAAAACGCAAAACTTTCGCCACTTCCGCTCCGAACGAACACTTTCTCCCTGGCCGTGTGCTGAAAAATGAGCGCGAATGGGTTTTGTCCTCGCTGTCGCAAAACTGTGTCACATGAGCCCCACTAACTGACTGACTCGCCCAGCCAACCCACCACCCCACCACCCACTCGCACACGTTTTCTCGCATGCACTTAAATCAAAAATGCATATATGTGAGTGCGTCTGTTCACCGCAACGCGGGCTGCACAATAAACTTCGGACGGGAAACAGGGCGGCCAGGACGACTACCCGATACCCATTGTTGGCAGGATAACAGCCAAAGTATCTAGTGCACACCTTTTATGCTGATTGATTTCCATCGTTTATACCCGCCAGTGTACAGGGAAAGTGTTGGGAAAAGCACAGTTTGTTGCTTAAATAATTTATCTCGTGCACAAACACACAGCTACAGACTTGATGCGGCGACGGTTTTTAGCAGCTATCGACAATACGGGCGATTGGTAGTGGAACAGAACAGGGGGCTGCCGTCAACAAGGTTGCATAAATAGTAAAGTCCTGTATCTCGGGCTCTCAGCCCAGCTGCACCGGCTCTTCGGGGCCCTCGACAAGGTAATGGCGGTTGCCAATCGCGAGCAGTGGGTTTTGTGGCATTTGCGCCTGCTTTTGTAAACGAAGCGTATTGGCATACTTTTGCCTGCGGCCTCTGTTCCTGTTTTCAGTTCGACTTAGTTTCTGCGGCTACGAGCAGAGAGCTAACTGAATAGCTTGCCACAAGGCTGCATGCATCCGATTTGCCTAAAATTCGAGGTGCGAATGTAGAAGGTAAAGTACTTAAAATGTTGTATACCCTCCATACATTTTTATTATTTCCTTGATGAGGAATACTATCAGATGTGCACTTTTTCCACCATAGTTAATAAAAACTGTCACCTTCCACACCACTGGCTCTGAGGCATTCGAATTGTTTTTTGCATTTGCAACTTGAATTGAATTTGCAACCGAGTGTGTGCGCTGCAACAGCCGCTCTACTTAGTTTTGCTGCAGCACTTTTGCGGGATTCGAATTTCGATTGTCTGCCGGCGCTTGCCAGCGACATTGCGGTTGCCAATGAGAGGAGGAGCTGTGCTGGAAACGCTGTCACCGGCGGACTGATATATGTATGCACTCCGCATCCTAGCCAGAGCACTAAATTTGTTGCATTATTTTCGGCGGACACATGGCCCGCATATCCACATGAACATACAGCATGTTCCACATGCAACAGAAGCAGCAGTAGCAGCCAAAGCAGTCTTTTCTCATTTCCGTTGCGTGGTTGCAGCATCCAAGTTGGTTGTGTGCTGCTGTGCTTTTTCGGTTCCGCGGTTCAGTTTACACGCCAAAGCATTTTTCCCACCATGCTGCAGCTCGGGTGGCAGCAATACTTGCAACATACTAGCAAACCAGCCACACTTTGTTTCATTAAAACTTTCGCCACGTGTCCTGAGTGCACGGTGGCTGTACATGTGAGGGTCTGTGTGTGGAGGGTGTTGGTTTCGGTGTGTTTCTGTTTGTATATGATCAGCATCTTTGCTTGTTTTGGCATTTGTTTAGTGTTTACCTGCCACACCCTCCCGTGCGGCGCTATCTGCATTTCAATGCATTTTAAATTATGCATAGCGGGCGAAAAAGGAAGAGATTCCTAAAAAAAAAAAGGAAAAGAAAGCCAAACGGTGGCGAACAAAAGTAAAGGGGAAAAATATTTTAGTTTGCTGAGAAAATGTTCATTACAGTTTTGTTTTCTGTTTTTGCATTTGGCTTGGCGAACTCCTTGGCGAGGAGTGTGCTTGTTAGCCGAGATTTCCATGCATATGGAGCCGAGAACCGAGAGCCCCGAGCCATGTTGCCACACCTGTCGGTTGCCAACACCACCCGCCCCCCATTGGCATCACAACCTGAACCTTCTTCACACCTACACCTTTTCACTCTCGGCATATTGCATTTTCCGTTGTTCTCTGCTATTTTCCCTTGTTGCATATTTAATGCATGCAAATTATTTACGGTGTCGACTTTTAGCCCGCGGCCATGGCATACCGATGCTCTTGTTGTTTTAAAGCGCAGCTCACCGCGGCCAATTCATTTTTATTGCCTGCCATTTTGGTGCAACGCATTTGAGCATCCTGCCTCCGCCATTAGGCCACCCCACCGGCCCACCTATGTATAGCCCAGCTAGAGCCCACCTGGCCCAATCGACAGGGTGGCCTCCAAGTAAGCCCCAGTGACTTTGGATGACTTCGGAGTCGTAAGTGCATTTATCAAAATCCTCTTTCGGCGGGGATGCAAAAAGTGCACGTCAGCGCCAGAGAACAAGGGGGGCGGGAGGAAGCGTGGAAAACGTGTCACGCTCGCTCCGTCGGCACAGCAATTTCCCAGCAATTTCGCCAGAGAGAGAGAAAGAGTACAAAAAAAGAAATGACAAAAGCCATACGAGTAAAATGTCATTCAAGCAGCGAATGCCATTTACCCAAACCCAAACCGAAAACCAAAACCGACCCATCGGTTTCCAT